ATGCTTCATCTCTCTCACAAACGTCTTCAGAGGCTCCACAGGGCTCGATTCTGCTGATGCGCTGGGTCCGTTTGCTGACACTTCTCGAATCTGAAATGTAAATTTTACTGTAAATTTTACTGGAATCATACAATTTTATTATTTACATGCATTTGTAATAAAAATCCAACATATGACTGAACATAAATAACCTTTTTAAACACAAACCTGCGTCATTATTATGCTGATCACCAATTATTAGTCTATATTTATTACATGAATAACATCAATGTGCAAAGTTGGGAAGTTACATTGACTTGAGTAACATTTTTAGGAGTATTTTCACAATGCTGTACTTTTTACTTTCACTTGAATAATTTTACTATGAAGTATTTCTGCTCTTTGTTGAGTAAAATTTCTGGATTTTCTACCCACCGAGTGAAAAACAAAGATGTTTTAATCAAAAATTCACCAGCTGGATGTAGGAATAACACGGATGCTGCTGCACAGACACACACCTGCAGTGTCTGTCAAAGTTTTATAAATTTTTTATTGAAAGAAACTGATTTGGAAACTTTTTTTTGTTTTGCCTGGTTTAGTTATTTTTTGGTTATTTATATGAATTGTTGTCATTTTTGTCCTTAAAATACAAAAATTTCCGTGTTAACTTTATATTTGGTTCATCTGATGATGTGATATTTAAATACAAAATGATTGATAATTTGATAAATTACTCAGTATTTGAGTAAACTTTTTTATCAAATACTTTTTTACTTGACTCATTTCTTGGACAGTTACTTTTTATCATTTTGGTTACTTTTCCCTCCTTCGTCTTTGTTTGTCACACGATTTTTTTCTGTCCCCAAACTGATTTGTTTTTTTAATGGAGCATTAACAAAACAAACCGATTATTTGCTCAGACTCAAACAATAAAGAAGGTCGTGGGGAGAGGCTGAATATTTCCTCAGAGTCATGCTAAAAGTCTCACTTAGGTGCTTTGGAAAGAGGAAAACAACATCTGCCAGTCAACCTTTCAGTGTAAAATGATTTTTATGATAAAATGTGTTTTACTGTATTAATATTTACATTTAGATTAAGTTATTTCAGTAGATATTTACATCTCAATAGCTTAAAAGACACTTCTGGCGTATTAATGACAAATTATTACAATACACAGAAAAAGAAAAGTGAATTTATTTGATTTTTTAAACCAGTATTTCTTCTATTTCAACAGAATTTTGTGTCTTGAACTAATTATATACACTACATATTTTGTATATTGGGCCTAGAAACCAAATTAGCTACTTTTTTCCCCGACACAATCATGAAAAAGTTTATATACTTGATGGAGATTTATTTATTTTTTAATTACTGAACACCTTAAAAGATTCTAACGCAAAAGCGCAGAGTCGGAACCTTTGCTTTGTGTTTCTGGTACGCCCATAAATCTGACGCACAAGCGAAGTCCCTAAACAAAGCCGCGTCTCTTGGCCCACTGGGGTTTAATTTCTGCTTTAAAACAATCTGATAAAATGCTGGAAAGTATTATTACTGCGTCCAGATTTATCTTTAAGGAGTTAAAATAGCGTCTCAGTGCCAAACATGTAGCAGCAGCACAGATGCTAATGCTAACGTTAGCATCAGATTTCCAAATAAATTTTTTTTTTAAATCAAGTTGAATGATGAGGATTGTTTTGAAACGCTTGAAACCTGAATGGATATTAAAGCACATTTGCTCCGATATGGTCGTTTAATAAACTAAATAAACAGAATAAAATTGATTAACATTTTGTTGAGCGTTTTATTTAACAATAAATGGAAAATGTAGCTTCTTATGTCGATTATAATATGATTGTGACTAATTAATTACAAACCCTGCATTTAACGTGATTAAACATTTTTCTAGAGTCCCATTAGTTTGAACAAATGCTGCATGATGAGATAATCAGTAATCACACTAATTGATTGGTGGTTCACTTTATGGCCTTCTTGCTGCTCATAAACTGAAAGAATAGAAAGGAACTTAAATTTTTTTTTTATTTGTTACATTTAATCAAAACAAGTTTGTCAAACTTACTTTATTTACATGTGTTTAACATTAAAACTTAATATATTTACTTGGGCAAATTAAAGATAGATAGATAGATAGATAGATAGATAGATAGATAGATAGATAGATAGATAGATAGATAGATAGATAGATAGATAGATAGATAGATAGATAGATAGATAGATAGATAGATAGATAGATAGATAGATAGATAGATAGATAGATAGATAGATAGATAGATAGATAGACAGACAGACAGACAGACAGACAGACAGACAGACAGACAGACAGACAGACAGACAGACAGACAGACAGACAGACAGACAGACAGACAGACAGACAGACAGACAGACAGACAGACAGACAGACAGACAGACAGACAGACAGTATTTGAGTAAACAGACAGACAGACAGACAGACAGACAGACAGATAGAGACAGATAGATAGATAGATTTGATCAGTAACTCAGTACTTGGGCAGACATTTTCCCAAATACATTTTTACTCTTAATTGAATAATATCCTGGATGGCTATGTTTACTTGAGTAAAACTATGTTGTTATAGTGCTACTTTACTTGAGTACAATCTTTTGTTATTCTACTCACTTCTGGAGATAAAAAATAGAATTAATGTTTGAGCTTCAAACTTCTCAAAACATTAAGATGGAGAATATTTATTTCTCTTTCAGATTAAAGCCGTTGCTTTCATCTTGCAAACAGCTGCAGAAATCACAGTTCTCCTTTAAGGGGAGGTGGGTCCACAGATGAAACTTGGCTGAAGGCCTTGTAGGAGCAACAGGTTCCCACCCATTTAAACTTTAAACAAACCTGCAAAAAAGCTAAAAACAAACACACAAAAAACACTGTAAACTGGATCGCTTTGCAAAGCAGGAGCCTCGGTGGTGAAATAGCTGTGAACGACCCTTTGCCCTCTGCTTGCACAGGACACCGCAGACTGCCTGCACCAATTTTATCCCCAACAGCTGTGTCTTTCCAGCAGATTCCTCAGCACCTAACTTTGGAAAACAAGAGTCTGTCTCTGGGAGGGAAGATTACCAGCTAGGCAGACTGGGACTTCACAGCAGATCCGATCACTTTCTGCTCACTTATTATCATTATTATTCATTTTTGCGATATTTATATCATAATTACAGGTCAGGCGGTTTCTCTAGCCTACGAATGAAGCGAGAGCTGGTTGAATCCTTGTAAGGGAAAAGTTTATTACGATCTGATGGCCGTTTTTCCAAACACGGGGATCAGATCCACGCAGCGCGGTGACTCACCGCGTAACAATAATAATAGCGTTAGATCATGGCATGGGAATAAAACGGCGATGGTCATCTGTTATATTAGGCTCCTGAGCTGTCAGTGAGGGGGAGGTGACGCTGCCTAACAAGGCCCATCGGCGACAATATTAATGTGGAACATAAAACGCAGCGCACGGATTTAAAAACACTAAAATCTGCGTGACGCGCCTGGAGACACAAAACCAACGTAAACAAACGCGTCCAAACGACATCGAACAATCACAGCAACTTTATCGTTCCGGTTCCGTTACCTTCCTGGCATCGTGTCTCGGGTCGTTCCAGGTGGTGGTCCGGTTGTTGTGGTCCACGAAGAAAGGCCAGCCGGTGTGCGGGTCGATCTTCACCTCCCAGCCGAGCGGCAGAGGCTCGCTGTCGTTGGGCGCCATCGCGGCGGGCATCGCTGACTGCGTCTTCACGGCGTTCATGTTGCAGGCGGCCGAGTATTGAGACATGTTCCACCGGGCGACGGTCGCTTTAAAGATTCCCACTGGTGACGTGGGGGAGTGGGCTGGAAGTTTCTGGAAATAGCGAGGGGTTAATGTCGGGGGCGGCGGACGCAGCGCGCTGGCTCCTCAGACCCCAAACACAGACGACTCGGAGCGAATGACATTCACCTTATTTATTTAGTTATTTTATTTTAATTACATAAATAAACAAAAACGAGCAGGATTTCCCCTGGCGATGGGTCCCGGGACACAGAAGGGAATTCCTAATTTTTCCTAAATAAAAACAAATCTCTAAATAGATGGGAGTCAGACTCCCACAGGATGGTGAATCTAGTCCAACGATTTGCTTGGATTTGGTTCACAATTATGTAACTGCTGGTGTGAAAGAGTGTAGGCACGGTGACACCTCTAATGACAGTCCTTCCTCTTCATTCTGTCAGGGGGAATGCTAATAAGAACACTGGCAAAAACAAACAGATTGTACAGCTCCCTTAAACCTGTATTGTATTCGCATAGCAGCAAGTGACAATGTGAGTCAACAGAAAAAAATTAAATACATTTTATTGTCACACATTGGGGAAACTTAAGTGCAAATCTGACAGGACGTGTGTGCAGGTAGGTTCATGCCTAAAAGACAAACAAAATTAAGAGTCATATTCAACAACAAGGGCAAAATTACAACATAAAAAATGTGCAACAATATATAAAATGTGCAAACAACAGACTAGTTATTATATATGAATATAAAACTGCTGCAAATACCTGCAAGTATGTACGTCAATTTTTATTGGGTTTGTTGATTACAGTGGATATAGAGTTCAGTAGCTGCTGGAGGAAGGATCTACTATAATGCTCCTTCAATTTAGCTCTAACTTAGTCAGTTGAATGGGATTTATAGTATAATTTAATATAATGCAGACATATTCAGATTCAAACTTAATTCAAAACTTTGTTTTGTATCTAATTACTGCAGTAATTTATATTATATTATATTTACATTGTGTTACTAAATTCATATAACCATTTACTTAAGGTCCCTCAGTAATGTTTGTAATGTCAAGTAAATGAGTCAAATGTTAAACCACTCCTATTCCAGAACTATTCTTGTTCGAGTGAACACCATGTTCCTATGGTGTGAAAAACAAGTGCTCCTCGCGTCACGCTCCGAGTTGAGGCCTCTTACGGAAGTTACTTTGCTTGAAAAAACTGCTAAGTTTATCCGAGCCTCTGATTTTTCTGTTTTATTTGTAAATGTCTCTGTAAATACAGACATAAACAGAACATGTACTAAGAAAACACATTTTTACATTTAAAATAGAAACAAACCTTAGCTTTTACTACGACGAATAACCCGGAAGTCGTAGCGTGACGTAAGCCATGAACACAGTTAGCTAGCTTCTGAGCTAGTTAACGAGTAGTTGTTGTTTTCAGGGCTTGTCTTTTGTTATTAATCTGCCTATCAGCAAATATTTTTGAGTAGGTTTTAGTCGATATCGGCCATGGACGACGAAAGTTACCCAAGAACCCTGTAAGTAGTTTTAAGTGATCAATATGCGCGGTTTATTTCGCAGCGTTTGCTAACATCAAACCTGTGGCTAACGTAGCTCCTCAACCATCGATTACTAAACAAAAATCAACCTCTGGAGCTTCATTCACCAGGCTTAAACGAGATAATTAATGACGAAATAATAATTTGATGAACGTATTGACGGTAACTCTTTCTATTAGCCGTTTTTGGCGTTAGGCCTTGGATTTTATGCGAATAACGTCACAATTACGCTCCAAACCTCACCTGAAGAAGCTCAAAGCGACAGAAATAAGACGCTGTTTGTTAATTGGAATCACATTGTCCGGCTGTATTCGGACTGAACTGTTTTAACATTTTATCTCCTCCTTTAGGTATGTGGGAAACCTGTCCAGGGATGTTACAGAGATCCTGATTTTACAGCTCTTCACCCAGATAGGACCCTGCAAAAGCTGCAAGATGATCACAGAGGTAAAGATCCTGGTTTGGCTGCTGGCCTTCTGAGAAAAATGAAAACATCACGAAAATGTTCATTTATTAAAGAATAACTTAAACTCCTACAGATTGCTTTAGTGTGTCATGGATTATTTCTTACATGTAAGGCTGTGATCATGTCTGTTGCTTGTCTGTCGTTCCAGTCACTTTTTCCTTCCAGTAAACTTTCCATGAGCATGCCTGGGTGCTGCACCCTGAATTGCCAACCTTTTAAATAAACACTTGAAATATTACTGTGTATTTGCAGTGAATCTAAATAATTGAGTCATTTTAATAAATGAACTCTTTGATGTTATTTATTTATTTATTTTGCTTGTCGTCGTTTTTCTGCAGCACACAAGCAATGACCCTTATTGCTTTGTGGAGTTCTACGAGCGCAGAGATGCAGCTGCAGCCCTGGCAGCCATGAATGGCAGGAAGATACTAGGAAAGGTGAGAGGAAGAGCATTTAAATAAAATAAAATAGGCAACTCATCTAAATAAAGTTTATTTTGATTCTTGTGTGTGGTCGTTTTTTTGGGGGGGGGGGGGGGCGGGGGTTAATCTTTTTTGCAGTTTTAATGAGGTTCAATTATTCTTTTGCTTTCAGGAAGTTAAAGTCAACTGGGCAACCACCCCCAGCAGCCAGAAGAAAGACACCTCCAGTAAATTTATTATTATTTTCATCATTGTTTTAAAATTAGATTAATAATTATTTAGAATTTTTAAGATGATGTAAAGTATTTGCTTCTGTTTTTGCTTTTTCTTAGATCACTATCATGTTTTTGTGGGTGATTTGAATCCAGAGATTACTACTGATGATGTCAGGGCTGCATTTTCACCTTTCGGAGCAATCTCGTAAGTTCATTTTTTAAACATAATTATTACGAAATGCATGTTTTAGCATTTGATCTGTTAAAAGTTGGGTAAAAATTAGCTTTGTGAAGCTGCTCTGTTAGCCTAAGACCCACTGTGACCATGTTTACATGCATCCATCTGGGAATTCGATTCAACAAAATGCTCACAAGTAAGAACATTTTCTGATAAGATGAAGATCTGGTGTTGCTAAACAGATGCCCACTAAGGCTTCTTTCTCACTAACCGATATCTGACGGCCAAATTCTGATCTTTTTCATACAGAAATAAATAAATTAATCAGAAACATATCCGGTCTGAAAGAGAGGCATGCATCGTATTTCTGCACAGGAAGAATCCAGATGAGCGATAAATAGGTGTAAACAATGACTGAAAATGATAATTATAAGATTATTAAATAAGTCTGTCAGTGAAGTTCATCACGTCACAATCCCACTGCTGTCAGTTCTGACTACGCATCCAAACAGCCTTCCATACACAACATGCAGCGACTTCTCTGCTGTGTGACGTTTTCGTTCTGCGCATTCAGGTTGCTTTGTACGGAGGACTGATCTGGCCAAAATTGACAAGAAAATAAGTTAGTGACAAAATAAAATTTTAAATTACTAAATAAGTGAAGAATTAAAGAAATTGAAAATTAATAACTCTGTAGACGTAAACACTTTTGGAACTTTTCTGTGAACCCACATATCCTGATGCTGTTGAATTTTGCCTTTGTGAGGCAAGAAATGCTATTTCTGCTCTATATTCTAAATATATTTTATTTTCACAATTATTTATTTTCATGTTTAATTATTGTCAATTTTGGCATTATAAGTACTCCATAGACATCACAAATTGGATTTTGGTTGTTTAAATAAGTAATTCTCTTCATGTAGACATGGTTACTGGTACTAATACATATTTTTATTTTAAATATGAGCTTACACGCAGTCCTTTGCAAAAGTTTTTATTCCCTCAAACCTTTTTCATATTTTATCATCCTTTAGCTTCAAATTTCAATGTATTTTATTGGGATTTAGACGTTTGATAAATCAACTAAAATTACCACATAACTCAGAAGTGAGAGGAAAATGTTGCATTATAAAATTATTTATTTATTCTTTCGTATTACTTTAGAAATATTTGCAAATATATTGTGATACTTTTTCTTTTGCACATAGAATAAAACAAGCAGACAGATTGGAGACATTAATAGTTTTACTCTTTAAATAAAAAAAACAATAAAACTGAAACCAAGCTGAAACAAATCACTTGGTTTCAGGAAAGTGACACATTTTTAAATGAAAAAAGATAAAGGTTATAAGAAGCTTAAATAAAATAATGACTACATCAAAGGTGGTTTGTTTATATTTCACTTGTGTAAACTTGTTACTTTTGGTTGCAAATAACTAATCGGATGAATCAATTATTTAAATAGTCAAATTTATTAATCGATTAATTACTCATTGGAGTTTACAGGTTCTAAAATTAACCATTTGCTGAAACAAATCTACATATTTAAAGCGAGAATTAAGTAAAAAATATATACATCATGCAATTTAGATGAAAATCTTCTTTGTAAATATTTTCTATCCAGACTCCAGTAGACATAATAAATACTGCCACCTGCAGGTGAGAGTTGGCATTACTTTAATCCAATGATTTCGAGTCAAAATTTAAATGAACTCACAATTATGAATTATTGCAAAACAAAAATTGTGGGTCAGACGATTTTGTGTGGAGGGTTGAACATTAAAGGAGCAAAGAAATTAGATCTAAGCCCACTTTGGAGGAGCAACAGAAACCCACAGCTCAGATGGGTAGAACAGCAGTATTAAAAACCATAAGAAGAAAAGTTTGGAAACACGTGAGAGAAGGTGAAACATTTTTGGCAGAAAAATTCCTACTGCACCCAAACTCCATGTTGAAACACAGTGGTGGCAGCATCATGATGTGTGGATACTCTTTTTGCAGACAAATGAAGGATTTCTTTGTTAGAAATGTTAAAAAGTGCATAAAATTGTGCATTAATTTGTGGTTTTCTCTCACAAAATTCCCTCAAAAACAAATGTAATGTTTATCAAATCATAGATTTAAGATGCTTAAGGTGAAGGAAGACTTTTGCAAAGCAGTGTGTGTTTTTAACCACTCTTAACAGATTTAAGCAGTCGTAGGGGTTGTGTGTTTTATGGTTTGTGCATTTAACCGGTTCCTGCGTTTTATCGTCATGTAGAGCGCGGTAAGTGAAGCGAGCGCTTCAGAGCAACATCCAAGCTTTGTGTGTGAACCTGAACCGCCTTTAAAGTACTTCTTCACAGTGAAGTTTTAATAGCCCTTTGGTTATTTTACAGAGATGCTCATAGGATTGGACAGCAGCTTGAAGGCTAACAGCAAGGAGCTGTGCACTCTGGAGACTCAGATGTAGTTTTTTTTTCTTCCTCTATTTATTACATTTTTTAATTCCCACATGTCTTTATTTGCAGATACAACAGTGTTATTTATTTTTTTCTTATTTTTTTATAACCTCGACAGCTTTGCTTAAATTGTCTCATTTTTTGATTTGTGTAGTGTTGTTTGTAGATCACTGATCCTCTTCTTCCAAAATTTTCTGAAAATGTCAATTTCTCAAAATTTACAGCTGCCCAAAGTCCAAACGGCATAATGGTGGTAAAGAATTGACCAGGAAAATTCAGAAATCTGTTAACAGGCCACGTATGCCATTTAATTCCTTTTTTTCTTCTGATATTTCATATTTATTTATATATATATATCTATTTACATTTCTGTCTGTAGGAATAGCAGTTACAGCAGATTTTAGGAATGCATGGTAATCTGTCAATTTAATCTCTAGGATTGAGCCAAAATGTGGTGAAATAACTTAAAGTATACTGTAGGCTGCATGTATTTGTTCATGTTTGTTTAGAAGAAGTCAGCAGTAGGTCATGTTAGCTATTTTAATCCACTGTAGGTCAGAATAGAGGAGTTAAACTCTGTGTTTGCGTGGTTCCTATTTTTTACTGAGGACTTTCTTTCTAAATTTTGCTGATTTAATTTGTTTCCTGGTTTTCCCCTCAGAGACGCTCGTGTCGTGAAGGACATTACAACTGGCAAATCAAAAGGGTATGGATTTGTGTCCTTCTACAACAAACTGGTAAGGCTTCAGTACAGGAACACAGACTGAAGGTTATGTTTTTCCTTTATTATTCTACCTTTTTAAAATGCTCAGAACAGATGAAATGATAGTCAGCCAGTGCCACTACATGTCACACACCACAGTTTTCTCATTGCCAATGCCAGTTTTTTAAGTTTTGCAGAATTGAAAACTGTAATTTCTGTAGTTTTTTGTTGTTGTTTCTGAAGAGCGGCGCCGTTCCTCTTTTTGGCTTTCAGGATGCAGAAAATGCGATCTCTCACATGGCGGGCCAGTGGCTCGGAGGGCGGCAGATCAGGACCAACTGGGCGACGCGTAAACCCCCGGCCCCAAAAAGTGCTCAGGACAGTGAGTATCGACAGGAAGTTATTCATTTAAAGTCATTTACTGCCATTATTTTAATCAATTACGCGACGATTAATCGATCAATATGATTTTTTTCCCCACAATCAACAGAATTTTTTAATTTAACCACTTGCGGTTCTTTCATTTGTCAGTTTTTAATAAGAATATAAACATTGAATTTCCTAAAATGCAATGACATAGCATTTACTGAGTCTTTCAAATTGATTACACTTTAAAACTCATTCATGTTCACACCAAACTCTGTTAAAAATGCAACAAACTTTCTACAAATGTTGCCAACACAGATGTCTCTGTTGCTTCCATTGAGAGGATGGAATAATCTGTGATTACAACCCTGTAATCTACCATAGAGCTGAACGATTAATCACGATTAATCAAATAATCATCAACAATTTTAGTAATTGATTAATCATAAAGAGGCAGATTTCTGGCAGAGTGATACATTCAGAGAAGTAATTATACCAAAACTGTTAAAAAGGGAAACATTTTGCATTTAAGATTTTAAAAAGTTCTCTAGAAAACGTGTCTGGAGAGTCCGGTTCGTTTGGGCTCTGAATGCTAATCGAACTCTAAAAACTGAACTCTGGTTTGGTTCAAGTGCAAATGGTTTGGAGCATTTTGTGCTCCAAAAGCAGGATGTGGTCTGCAGCGCAGGGCATTCTGGGTAATTGCAACCAAAACAAACATGCTAGCAGGAGAAATGGCTCGTGGTCTTTTTCCAAAGCCAATAAAGAAATCCGTCAAACACAAAAATCTGACGCTTCTCCATTTTAGTTTACATTTCGCGAAGAAGGAAGCTGCACTGGAGGTTTTTGCTTGTTTCCTTCAGTGGTTCTCGGTGCAGCGCCCCCACAGGTGAGGAGGGGAACAGGTTTTTTTGAAAGGTTTGGTTTGTTTGAATCCCTACAGCTGAAAATGTAACAAATGTTGCAACATGGGAAAACCAGCCTTTGAACCAGGGCCTTTTCCATAGTACCCTGATCATCTTATTCAGCCTTGATTCCTGCTGTATCCGGACCTCCAGCGTTAAAACAGTGATCTCTTCATGGATTGGCTTTTAGTTCTGTGTTTGTTTTAAAATTTGTTGTTGTTTTTTGTCAGATGGCTCAAAGCAGCTGAGGTTTGATGATGTGATGAATCAGTCGAGTCCACAGAACTGCACAGTGTACTGCGGCGGGATCCAGTCGGGTCTCACAGGCGAGTGCCACATTCCCCGGAGGCCATTGTTCCAGCATGTCGTCACTCTGTACTTATAGGTGTCCTACCAGTTGCCAGACTGGAAGAATCAACCAGAATAACATGTTTGTCTCCTCTCTGGTTCTTCCAGAACATCTGATCCGACAGACGTTTTCACCATTTGGTCAAATCATGGAGGTCAGGGTGTTTCCTGAGAAAGGATATTCCTTCATCAGGTATTATTAGAGCTAATGGCAGCGTTTAGCCTCCAGAGGTCAACAGCAGCAGTGACACTGCCTGTGTTCTGATTCGTTTTGTTCTTTTTGTATTGAAGGTTCTCCACCCATGACAGCGCTGCGCACGCCATCGTCTCTGTAAACGGGACAGTCATTGAGGGGCAGATGGTGAAGTGCTACTGGGGCAAAGAGTCTCCTGACATGGCAAAAAGCCCTCAGCAGGTTGGTGTTAAATGACGGGAAACAGGCGACACCTGAACTGAACATGGCAGCATCACCAGAGAGGCTGGACAGAGCTAATATGAAAATACAGGACAACATTTCCCAGTTATGTGGTTCTTTGTGTTGCTTTATCATTTAAAATCCCAATAAAATATTTTAAACTTTGTGGTTTATTTGGACCAAGAGGTATAAATACTGTATTTTTCTAAATTTAATATTTCCTGATGATGACTCCAGCGACAGTGTTTTATTGTCACACAGTTGTTTTAAAAGCACCTGAGAAAATGATGTTTGTAGCTAAATTTGGCGTCTGTCCATTAGTTGCTGCTGCATCAGTGATTTTGGTTTTAATTTTTTACAGACATCATTGTTTTATTTGTGCCAAACAAATTAGTCCCTGTGCGGCAGACAGACTGTGGAGTCAGGATTTTGGCAAGAGATTCAGTTCAGGTGTTTTTGTGTTTCTGCCTCCCAACTACGACACATGGTCACTGGAAAACTTTGACCAGTTTGATTTATTTAATAAATAACTAAAAATCTGACACAGATTTCCAATCACTGGTTTTTCATACCATTTCTATCTTTGTGACGTCCTTTAGAAGTATTAATCACTAGAGATGAAACAATTAATCGTGATTAATCGACTATCACAATAATTGAACTAATTTAGTAATCAATTAATCGTTAACTGGAGTATACAGATGGAAAATAGAGGCCATTTGACGAAATACATTCAGAGGAGTAAAGTTGTACAAACTATCAGTTTTGTATTTCAGATAAAAACACCATTATTTTGATTGATCTTTTTTTTTTAAACTGATCAAGTGGGAGTTTTATCTTCCCCCATTTCCATTTACTGAAGGGAAGCTATGTTACATTTTAGCCAGTAAAATGTTTTTATCAAAAAAAAAGAATCAAAATATTTTAGTTTATTTGCATCTTTTAAAGTACTTCAAATGTGTACGAAGACTTGAGTATAGGGTCGAATCGATTAATTGTGATTAATCGATTACTGAAATAATCGTCTAATTTGGTAATCGTTAACTGGAGTACATAGGCTCAAAGAAAAAAGGCAGTTTGGTGAAAAATAAAACACATTTAGGGGAGTAATTAAGTTAAAGCTGTACAAAAAATAGACATTTGTGTTTAAAAAAAACAAATATGTTCGACCCAGAACTCCTCAAGTGGCAGTTTTAGCTTCACCCAGTGAAAATACTGTAAAAATACAAAAATCTCCCTATTATTAAGCATCTTTTTCTGTTTAGATATTAATCAGTTAATCCAGAAAGTAATCAATCGATCAGCCCTGGTCAGCAGAAAAGGTTGAACTTTTCACATTTTGCACTTTTCAGCTGCAGATTCGTCCGAAATGAATGTTACATTATCGGATTTTAGGACATAAGATGTTTATTTTCCTCTTTTAGAAATGGTCAGATGAAAAATCTTCTGAATGAGTCATCTTTTTTAAAAACCAGTTTTAAATTGAATCAGATTGTTGATCTGATGAATTGCGTTTTGTGTCAGGTGGATTACAGCCAGTGGGGCCAGTGGAGCCAGGTGTACGGGGACCAGCAGCACCAGTACGGCCAGTACATGGCCAACGGCTGGCAGGTTCCCTCCTACAACATGTACGGACAGACATGGAGCCAGCAGGGATACGGAGCCGAGTGAGTTCACTTCCGCTGCCATTAGGACGCCGTCTCTTTAAGAAGAATCCCTGACAACAATTTACCATATATGGAGTTCCTACTGTGGAATGGAATACAGATTTAATTTTGAAGATTTACTTTTTAATTTCCAGGCTTTTTTTTTTCTGTAAATTTTCTTAAAACTAAAATTCAAACACAATTATTCAGGGTTTTTAAAATTCTTCAAAATGGATGAAATTCAATTAAAATTTTATCACAATATTTTGTGGGACTATTATCCTAATAAAAATTACAATAAAAAACTGTTTATTGCTTTTTTTCTGTAACAGTGTTGTTGTTTGAGGAACGTTCCCATTTTTGTTTTTTTTAGATCAGTCACATTAACAAATGTGATTCATGTAATTAAACTGCAAATTGTAACTGAATTTAATTGTATTTTCCAATTAATTGATGCGTTCATTGACCAAACGTTGGAAAGAAGGAGTAAATTAGAGATGCACGATATATTGGCACCAACATCGGTATGGAACAACATCAGTCATTTTTTAACCAATCGGAATTGGTCCGATAAATGAAACCGGGCCGATATATAAACGACCAGAAGTTATTTTTATCCATTTGAGGTTGTATTTTCCCCAAAGGTGTTGAAATGGTAGTGAAATCTGTATAAGATCAGTAGATATAGAGATATATCGGAAATATTAATATTGCATATTAATATCGACCCAAATGTTCATATCTGTGCAGCTCTATAGTAATTATAACAATACCGATAAAAAGGACAGTTTGGGGGTTTTAAACATGGTTAAACTGAATTTACTTGAGACCAGAATGAAACATTTTATCTTCCAGTTTTTGGTCGGAGAGAAACGATAAATTAGGCAAAATTATTGCGCTTGTTTTAATTTATCATGCAGTCAATTGATTTATTGCGACAGGTAAAGTTAAAAGTTTATTTTGTTTCCTATGTTTGTATTGTTTTACATGTTAAAAAAAAAAAAAGAATCAGAAATCATGTAAGTAAAACGTACATAAAGGGAACAAACTTTCCCGACTTTTTCAACTCTGCTAAACGTTTAGTAAAATTTCACTGTTGAAACTGAAATATTGGAGTAAAATATTTGCTGCTCTGCTCGGCCTGCAGGCAGTCGCAGTCGTCAGCCTGGATGGGCGGCTACGCCTCGGCCCCGACGCCTCCCGACGCCGTCGTTTCCAACGTGGGGAACTTCAACATGGCCGGCTACCAGATGCAGTGAGAGGTTTCCGACCCGAACACACCACCAAGGGAAAAAACAAAAACAAACGGCACTTTTCATCCGGACAGAAACGAAAGAACAGGAGTCGTATTTATACAGAGTTTGGTCGTTAACAACCGGTTTTATAAATCACTCTCCTCCTGACTCAGAACTTTGTTTATATGGTGATTATTTACAATTTTAATGTTTTAGAAAAGGAAAACCAAAGCAGCGAACCTGGCCTGAATACCGAAGGATAAACCAAAACTTTAAACATTTGAAGTCCAAACAAAAAAAAAAAAAAAACATCCAATAGTCACTAATTTTGCTGTTTTTAAATCCAAAACTTGACATTTCGAAACACTTTGGGAATGTGATGAATTTAGCAGCATGAATGTTAAATCATCTTCCCTCCCAGTCTGGAAATGTTTTTTACAAATATATTTTAATGGATTCACTAATCGGGAAGTTTTTCTAAAACACAGAACAAACTTTTTAGTTTCTCCTTCTCATGTCGGGTTTTGATGCAGTTTTGCATAAATCAGTCGTTTATGAAGATTATTATTCGGCTGCTTCGTGTTGCTCTTCAAAATATGTCAGAAATTTAAGTGGAATTTTTGTTTTCCTGAATAAAGTTTGTGTACAAAGAAAACCTAAGAACGGTATCTTTTTAAAGGAGTTTATGTTCATCTTTTGCAGTGGAGGGCTTGTTGTTTTCAGACGTTGATGGTTTTATTTTGGATGATAGTTTGAATTTGTGCAGTTGAATCTGGAAAAGGCTGCACCTTTATAGTCCCTGTGTAAATAATATTAAAACTTGGTAGAGGTGACAGGCTTTGTGCTCATTTTGAAGCAGTTTGGTCAGAGGAGCTCTCTCTTTTTAAATGTTGTCTGGTTGGCAGCAGGATTTATTTAGCTTTCATTTGATGCTTACAAAATTGAGCAAGATTTTACATTTTAATTTCCAGTCAAATTACGATAAAACAATTACTTGAATCCTGATGTTTTGAGTTTTACTTGTGCTATTCTGCATGGTGTGTCAGAATTTAAAGGGCATATATCAGCATTTTCACCAGGAAGATTCATCAATAAAAATTGAGAAAAAAAACTTAGAAGTTGCTCAAAAGTGATAAAAAATCTCCATCTTGAATTTTAATCAATTGAATATTGATATGGTGATTTTTGAGGTACATTGGAGACTTAGCCATCTGGCACCCAACCTTGGGATTTATCTGCTCTTTCTGTAATTCACCACAAAAACCAAATATAGACCACAAATTTTGCCAGATGATGCGATTCTAGCTAAAATAAATGTACAGTGATTGTGTAAGCCTCACTTTTCCCAAATAAAATGTCTCTTACTACAATGCTTTGTGACCCGCCAGAAAGTTATCTTCAGGTTTGTTATTTGCAAGCCAAGTTCTTTAGACCTAAAAGTGCTGGATAAGAGGAATAAATGCTGGTTTGTAATGATTCATTATCAGGGCTAAACATGCATGAGAAACTTTTGGGGATTTAATTCGACCTGCAGAAATCAGTAAACATTTTGTGGACAGATAAAAACAGCTGGAAAAAGAAAACAGATATTTAATTTCTGGGTAAACTTGATGCTCACAACCATGTCCACCTTAGCGGTGATCCGTCTTAGCCGGGTTATAAACGCTGTGTCCTCTTACTTTATTCCTTTAATTTATTTCATAATACTGAAAATAAAACATCAATGGTCCTCTTTTTAAAAGAGTTTCTTCAGGAAAAAAACAAACTGAATATCACAGCTTCCATATATGGTATTCACTTCCTGTTTAAGAGCAGTGTGGTTACCAAGGTGTTTTTATTGACAAAAATTATTTTAAAAATCTACTAGAGGGTTGTTGTTTTCAGTTTTTGTGGATTGAACCTCTGCTGTATGATATGTGCCCTTTAAGAAGCCAATTTCTGTGCTGAACGAAATGTTTTGGTTCTTTTCAGTTTTGAAGTGTTCAAGGAATCCTTTATAAAATGTACATAATGTTGATTAACACCCTCTAGAAGAATATTCTTTTTGAATATTTTAGCAGCATAATTTATGAATATGCCTTAATTGATTTGTTAATAAAGTCAAACGGCCGATTTGTTTTGAAAACGTTGAATTTTTCCTCGTACCTGTGTGTGTGTGCCATTTCCTGTGTGCAGCAGGAAGTGGCTGAGATGCTCAAACGAATCTCAGCCACTTCCTGCTGCACACAGCAGGAAGTGGCGCGAATGTAATTATTTTTTGGAGCTGTTGAAGTTAGCAGAAAAGGAAACTCAGTCACTTCAAATAAAGGAGCATTTGTACCTCGTTGTTCAGGACGTTTATTAGACATGATGAATGTTTTCTATGAGGAAGTCTGACAGCAAAACACAAACACTGTAAAACTGCATTTTATGCAACATTAACAGATTGAATCAAACTAAAGAGTTTTAACTTACAGGACAATATTTTTGCAGCTCACTTCTAAAGGCCTCATAGGTCTAGTCAAAGTAAACTACTATCCAATATATAATGAGCTTTTGTGCTCATTCTGAAAAAGCAACACGATTAGAATATGAAGTAAATACATTTTATTTTTTCACTAACTGTGCAGATATTTATTTTGCAACTCAAATGGTTCAATCGTAGCGAAGAGAAAGTTTTGATCTCAGGGACAGAAACTAAGTACACCCCTGCTGCTTCTGAATGGGTGAAGAGGGGGAGTTAAGTTTATTTATTAGCGTTAACACCATTAAAGACATACATTTTAGTAGTTATTTGCTCTGAAACAAATTTTTGGCACAACTGATAGAGATGCAAACCTTTACTAACAGCAGAATAACCTCAGAACAATTTACCAGCCCAGCAGGAGCTTTTCTGCTACCAGCGGTGTAGAAAAGTTACAGCTCAGGGTGTACTTAGTTTTCAGAAACATGGCCGTGCCACTGGAACCAGCTAAACATTAATCTGCTTTTGGTCTCTGCTGCACAACGGCGCATTGAGGCAGCTGCAGATGGGAGAAAAAGTCAATTGCTGTCAAAATAAGTCAAGTTTTTAAATTGGTCTCAGAAATTTTCCAGAAAATAAACATGGAAATTTGGGAATTTGAAGTCAACAAATTTTGATATTAAAAAATTCTTAGGGTTACAAAAGTAAAAAAGAATAACATTTTTCAAATTTCCAGTTTTTCCAAGAAAATCTCTTATTTAAAAATTAGAGTTTTTTTCTAGAGAATTTCTGACTTTTCAAGCTCAAAAAATTTCCAAGTCAAAATGTTTTAAACCTTTGAAATGCAGACATTTAAAAACAAAATTCCAGAGCATTTCTGATTAAAAAAATTATGACTTTTTTAATTTCCAAATAACCTCTAGAAAATTTCTGAGTTTAAATAAAAAAAAGGTTTTTTTCAATAAAATAAAAAAAATTTTAAAGTCAGAAAATTTCCAAAATGTGAAAAATTTTGACTTTTGAAACTGACAGATTTGCACTTTGTTCCAGATCAAAGACCTTGGATTTGTTTTCCAACTTTTCTGAAATAAATCTCAAATTTTCATTTATTTTCTAGAAAATTTGAATTTAATTTAAAATTACTTATTATTGCCTAACAAATTTTTGACTTTTCAAACACAAAAAATTTACAAAAATGTAATATTTTTGAAATTTCCATAATCTTGAAAATTCTGGAGATTAATCTTAAATTTCCTTCCTCTTCATCTGATGCGCCGTCGTTCTCCTGCAGTCAGATTGCTGGTAGGCGATACAATCATTATTACAGTATTTACACGTTTCCATTACAACCTGCTGGCGCTGACTTGTTTTCAGGCGTGATATTTTTCATCGCTTGCAGCAGGTTCCTCACATCCTAGACGTCAGCGAGGAAGATCGATCGGTCTGGGAGGAGAAAAGCATTTTTTTTAACTCTTGGAACTTCTATCCCTTTTTCAAAAACAAAATTTTACTTCAAATTTCAGGCTTTTAAAGTAAAGGAAAGCAGAAAACTTTTCCCTAATAGAGCACAGAAACATTTTAATCTGGTTTAATCTGAATACTTACGTGGTTTCCCGTTAATCCCAGTTTCTCCATGATCAGATCCGTCCTGGACGTGAGCGCCGCCATCGACGTTTCTATCTGCAGAACCCGCCTGCTCAGCCTTACAGGAACAAAACCTGATTTTAATCCGTTTCGTCAGCCACGTTTTATTTGTCCTAAATAAATCCGTTTTTACCAGAGGAACTGTTCCTGCGCCACGAAGCCTCGACTCTTTTCATCGTCTGAGGCCGAACGATTCTCCAGAAACTCTTTTCCGTAGTTCTTTCCCAAGTTGTTCAGCTCGGCGGTGAGAGCATCCTGATTTTTACACAAATCAAACAGAAAAATTAATTTCTTTAGAACTTGTGGCACTAAAATCACAAACTTCAAAATATTTATTGCGATTTGTTGTGACAAACCAAAAGGTCTAAAACCCAAAGAGGAACTTCAAATCTGATAATTTAATAAACTGACTTTAAAATTAAAAATTATGACTCCAGTCAAAATTATGATTTGCGTCAGAATATTTCCAAAAGTTTAAATATTTTTACTTTTCAAACCTAAACACTATTGAAAATTTCTGAGGTTAATGTCTAAATTTCTAATTTCCTTCTAGCAAATTTTCGACTTTTCAAGTTCAGTAAATTTCTAAAAATCATCTAGAAACATTTTTGACTTCTGAAATTTACACATTCCCAGGTTTCCCAACATTTTCTGAAATAAATGGAATATTTTTCAAACACTGTAAAAAGAGATGATTGATTTAGTTGGAAACAAACTCGTTTTTCTTCCAGTTGAATTTTCATCCTCGTTTGTTCGTCTACGTCCAGAACCTGGTTTCTGTCTCGGTCAAACTGTGAGAAAGCCGCAGATATTTCTTTATCTTCATGACCCATCCTGCAGATTCAACACAATTGTTAGACTTGATTTATGTCTAATAATAATAGTAATAAAACGTAATGATTTTCTGCCTCTTACTCTTTAAGAGTCTCTCTGAAATCCCTGAATTCGATTTCTCCAGATCCAGACTGTAGAGCTTTCTGAACGTCCGATATTTTCTCTTTTTTTAGTTTCAGCTTCATAAAAGTCTTCATGTAGCTCTGGAGTTTTAAAGAATCCGTGTCGTTAGTAATTCTAGTGTGGATATTAGATGATTTCATCCGGTCCGTACCTGTTTGATGAGGTCAGTAATCTGCAGTTCGTCCTTCTGAGTTGACAGCTCCTCTTTGACCTCTGAGTAAGTGTCATTGATGATGGCCAGGAACATGTTCTGGAAGGAAAAGCTCATGAACCACCGCTCAGATTTATCCCTAAAAACAAACTTTTGATGCAGAAATTCTTACCAGCAGGACAAAGAAAACAAAAAACACATAGGTGACAAAGTAAATGGGCCCCAGGACTCGGTTTGCTCGGTCGATTGCGTCGAAATCGAAGTCACCAAGAATTATCCGGAACTGCGTGAAACTGCAACAAAAGAAAAACCGACGGTTTAGTTTTTACAGTTAAAGTCTGTTTGGTAACAAGATTTACAGCAGTGGCTAAAAATATTACTCAAGTAAGAGTAGAACTACTTCAAAATAAAATGACTCAAATAAAAAATACTCCTAAAAGTATTTTTGTTCAATAGAGTGAATGTAATCGAGTAAATGTAACTAGTTACTACGCAGCTCTGGATATTTGTCACCACTTACATGCACTTGACGAATGTGCTGAAAGATTCGACCTCGGTTCCAAACAGCAGGTATCCGAGCTGCGCGTAGGCGAAGAAGACGATGAAGAACATGATGGCGAAGCCCAGGATGTCTTTGGCGCATCGGCCCAGCGTGGTGGACAGCTGCGTCATCGTCTTATTGAAGCTGATGTATTTGAAAATCTACAAAAAGACCAAAAGGTTCCTGTCTTGATGTGTTTTTTCCTTCATTACCCTGAAATGTTACAGCTAAAGGCTAGCTGTAACATAGCTAGCTAGCTAGCGTAGCTAGCTAGGGATCCAAACCAATCTGGCCCTATGTGAAAAAGTATATATCTTATATCTTTCAACTTTTCAGCAAGATATAATCTGTGTGAAAATTTAAAAATTATTTGCACGAGAAATTAGACAAAAACACTTGGTAAGTTTACCTTGATCCAGGCGAAGAACAAATTCACAGCATTCATGTTGTTATACTGGGTTTGCCAGAAAGCCAGGAATTCAAAATCGGCGTATGAATCCGGCTGTTCTAGCAGCGACCCGAGCAGATTGTCCACTTTGATGGTCCGGAAGACATTGAAGACAATCGCAACGATGGCGAGCTGAAGAGAAAAACGCTGTTACTTCCTTCAGGACGAAAAGCGGATCTGAATCTGGAACTGAATCTTTATCCTACCAGTATGACCAGTATGTCCAGGATGTTCCAGATGCTTTTGAAATAGGCAAACTTGTGTATCCGCAGCTCCAGAATCTCCTCCACGATGTAGTAGAGGATGAACACACAGAAAACCAACTCGCAGCCGAGGACAAAGTAGTCCCAGTGGGTGATGTAGCGGATCAGTTTGACGGTTCTGATCTGGTAGGACGGTACGGCGCCGCCGGTCGCTGGGAACTCCACCACCAACCTGAGAGACGCAAACCAGCCGGTCAGAGAACCAAAACCAGTTTGTATGAAACCAAATCCAAAATAAAGAAATTCCATCCGTTGCAACAGATAAACACAGAAAACCTTCTGATCATGAGAAACAACAAATGTACTGTACCTACTATTTAGCCTATTTTCATATGTTAATTGGGTTTTACCTGCTACTAAAAGTGCTGTATGTGCTGTACAATGGCTTCTGGAAAAGACAGATGTTTTGTTGTTGACTTACCACCCAGAAACCCCTTTCTGCGATCTTGTTTGTTGTGCAGAAGGTTCCACTTCTGCATTTCAAAGATGTACTGTTGTATAATATAATCTAAGAGTGACTTCATGCAAAACAAATCGAATAAATGTGTTTTGTATGGGCCATAGACCCATCCTGACCTGTTCAAGGAAGCGTAATGGATAATGTTGGAAAACTTCACCTGACTACACAGAACATGTTGATGTTTGCATTGTAGGCTGAGAAGTCGATGAAAACCGCCCTGGTTCCTCGGTCCATCCAAAGGTTTTCCATCAGTTCTGAAAGGATGTTGGCGCTGTCCTCCTTGGTCCGGCTCAGGTCCTGGTAGAACCCGGCTCCACTGTAGGTGGTCAGGAGGCCCCAGTAGGAGGAACCTTTGAGGTCTTTCTCTGTGTGATAGCGCCACCTACAGAGGAGGGAAAGTGTACTTCTCTCAATGCTCCCACAACATATATATATATATATACACACACACTGTATGGGGTGCCATTTGTAAAGTAACACCAATAATCTGGGCTGTTTAGCCTATCATAGTCAGCATTTCATTCATACATTTATAAATGTTGTCATTCAAAATTTAAATTTCACTTAGTGAGCTAAATATTTACAAACTAAATGCTTAGGTTCATGTTTAGTTAGCAAGAAAAATATCTTGGTTGCCAACTGAACCTTTAGTTTACCAACTAAGGATTTGGTTCAGAACTGAAAATCCACTTAGTTAGCATCATAGCTACAAATGTTAGCTTGCTGGGCTAAATGTGAAATAGTTGTCACTAACTAAATCGTCTGTAAGCTAAATACAAGGCTCAAAGCTAAATGTTTATTTGACAGTTAAAATCTTTAGCTATGAGCTAAATGTCCAGAAAGCAAGCAAAACAGTTAACTTAATAACTAAATGTTGAACTAAATATGTAGCTCAGATCTAAAGGTTTAGCGAGAAAGCAAAATAGCGAGCTTACAAAGAATGTATATAGTCTATAAGCAAAATATTTAGCCCAGAGTGTAAGTATTTAATGAGCAAGCTAAAGATTTAACTTGCTAAATATACAAATATTTAATTGCCAACTAAATATGCAGCTAAATATTTAGTTTAAAAATTAAATATTTACCTTGGGACTAAAAATTAATAATATTGTGAAAATAGGACTTTTTAGAATGAATCCCTATTCTTTCTCCCATTAAAAGCTAAATAACCCAGATTACGTCTGTTTATCTTTGACTGTGTCGCTTCATAAAGCCGCCCCATCGTTTTCATTGTTTCATAGGAGATGAGAATCGGCGTACGCAGAGCCGTTGATGAGGCCAAAGCTGAGGTCGTCCTCCTTCTTCTCGTTGTAGACGTCAAAGCATTCGGTAATCTCATCTTTAAAGTCTTTATAGACTTTGCAGGAGTTGTTTTTAATCTTAATCTGCCTCATCCGGGGAACTCCGAGTAGCATGTTCTCATAGTAGATGAACGACTGGTCTCCGCTGTCCAGGGACTGGTTGTTGTACCATTTGGTCCAGTAAAGCCCGTCCAGTAACGGACCCTGAGCGTACTGATGTCACAGAGAGAATAAAACGGAGACTGATTTTAACTTTAACTCATTTTCTCTTTTGTCCGACGGTGGATTAGAGCCACTGTAGACATAAAAAAAGGACTAAATTTAACTTTGAGATGAAGCTTTCTTTTAAAAAATTTACATTTGAGCTTGAAAAATAAAAAAACAATTCAAAAATTTTGGTAGAAATTTTTTTTTTAAATGTTGAGACTATTCTCATAAATATTCTAGAAAACGTTTGGAAATTTCTGAGCTCCAAAAATTGATTTTTTTTAAACTTTTGAATTTCAGAAAGTTTTGTATCAATATTAATACTTCAAATATTTTTCTTGAAAATGATCAACCTTTTAAACCTTAAACTCAAAAATGTAACTTTTGAAGCTCAGAAAGTTTCTTGTTTTTCTCAGATTTTTTTTTCAAGCTATTTTTTCACTTTTCAAACTCAGAAACATTCTTGCTCTTTCTAGAAAAGTTTTGGGATTCATGTCAAAATAACTCAGTTTTTAGGCAGGAATGTTCTCCTATTTTCTTCCATCTCCAACAGCCCTGATCCGCCATCTTACATTTCCGTCAGCAAACAAAACCTGGAAAAACAAAAACTCACGTCCCAGAAGTCGGCCATGTTGCCGATGGTCTGAAACGTGACTCCACTCTGGCTGGCCGAGCCCACAAACAGATCCGTCATGGCTTTGGTGAAATAATAGCTGCTGGAGCTGCTCATGCCGTAGGTCACTGAAAGCACATCAACGTAATCACATTGTTAGCACATTGTTAGCGCCCGGCGGGCTACCAGATAAGAGAACAAACCCGGGCTTTGTTCGGGTCGCCTCTGCGGCTGAAAGGATCCAGATTAGTCCCGGTAATTTGTTTGGATAAAACATGTCGGCTGGAGGCAAACAGCCTCGTCAAACAATGAGAGTTCAACCCGCACAAAGACAGAAAAAGAGCTAAATGCTCTTATCGCTAAAAGCCAAGACAGCAGCAGCAGCAGCTTGTTTCCTTTCACTGCGGGACAAAAGAGCATTGACAGGAAACTTTCCATCCAATTAGCCTCAGATTTACTCAAATTCTCAGAAATACCCATGGGAATTATGTAACCATCTTCCAAGAAGAGCTAACATTGAGTTCAGACAAACTGATTATTTTCTTACCGCTTTTTGTCCCAGATCTTCTCATGCTAACCTACATGCTAATACTAATGCTAATTCAAGTCTCAGAAACACTGTCGATTTAACAAATGAAAAAAAATCAGTTAAGAAGAAAAACATACAACAAAATGTTAGGTTGTTGTTTGAAAAAAAGGAAAAAAAACATAAACTAAGTTGGGAAAATAATTTGCGCCCCTGATTCATATGGAGGACCAAAATTGTCAAAATTAAAAATAGAAGCAGAAAACTACTTTCCTCTTCCTTTACCATACTTCAGTAAGAAATATATATACTTTGTTTTTCCTTTTTCATATTCATGCAGTTTCACCAGAAGATGTATATGTTTCCTTTTGTGTTTTCCCGTTTGTTCTTTTTACATTGCCTCTTCTCCTCTTTTTACTTATGCATTTCTGCCTCATTATGGAAATGAGATGAAAACAAAAAAGTGTAAAAATGCTGAAAATTAGCTCATCATGCTCTGAAAAATGTCAAAAATAAATACCATATTATACCACTTTACTCCTCAGGCACTTAAAATACAACAAAATAAATACAGCTATGTTTTTGATTTTTATAAAATCAAACTTCATATTAGATTTTTATTAGTAATTAATTTCTTAATATTGTGTGACACAGATGTTTTTCTGTTAACTTCAGCAGATTGAAGCAGAACTCAACTTTATCTAAAGAAGACGACAAAAGACAGAGAAGTTAAAAAAAAAATCTGAAACTGACGCCATCCATCAAGTTACCACAGCAACCACTAGACACAATAAGCTAAACTCGGATCAGACAAATATTTTTATATTTTATATTTAGGTTATGTTTAAAAATTTTAATAATTTGACACTTATGTATGTATGTTTTTAGAATTGTCATCATATTTACACTTATATTTTGTATTTTCTGATATTTTAGCAAAACTCAAAATAAATAAGTCAAAACTACAAAAAAACATGTTTGTATTATAAATATGTTTTAGCCAAAACTCCTCCACCTCTACAGGCAATAAAATATTTCTTCTTTAAAAAGAAACTCATCAAATTATTTATTTATTTATATCTTTTAATTTACATTTCTGATTTTGTATTTTAAAAAGGCTTAAGTGGTAAAATAACAAATCTGTACAATCTTTGATTTTGTACCTGATTAATCAATTAATAGATTTATTAATTAACTGATTACTAAAATAATTGTCTGCACCTTCAGATTTATTTAAAAACAAACATTTAGGATGAAACTAGTGGTAAATACTCCCCCTTATGATTTAACTAGGACGTTCAACCTGTTCAGAAATTCAATGCACCTACAGAGACAAACATCCAGCAGGAACACCAGGTAGACCAGCAGCTCCCTCAGGGTGGTGCGGATGAACTTTTCCCTGTTGTTGGATGTGTTTTCAGTCCAAGCTGTTCCCCAAAACGCTGCAGGAAACAAACATGCACAACGGCGAATTAGTCACTGTGTAAAGGAGAAAAGGAGTAAAGATCGCCAGAAAACTTCAGAAATGTTCAAGAAAAAAAATTCAGTTTGAAAAGTCTAAGATTTGCTGGGGGAATAAAAAAATGTGATTAGTCAAAAAAAATTATAGAAAAAAACATTGAAATTTCTGAGTTTGAAAAGTTAGAAAATTTTGTTAGAAAATAATCAGAAATTCTGAGAAATAACTCAAAAATATTCTAGAAAGACAGAATTTTTTCCTTCATTTTCCGAGTTTCAAAAGTTGACAGTTTTCTATCTTTGTTAATTTTCTGTTTCAAAAAGTCAAAATTATTGAAATCTGGAAATTTTCAAAGTTGCAAAACTCAAACATTTTCCAATTTTGAAACTGAAATGTCCAAGTGTTTTGTGGTAAATTTCTGAAATGAATCTAAAATTTTCAGATTTTTTTTTAGCAACTTTTCAACCTGTGGTGAAAAATTTTCCTTTCCTCCATTTTTCCACAGATAAAGTCACTAATCAGACAGAAGTCGATATATTTGTGGTAAAACTGAGTTTAAACGTTTTCCCACCTTTGATGAAGCTGCAGCAGCCTCTTGTCTCCTTCCCCGGGTTCTGGTCGGGGCTGCCCGGTTCCTCCTGCATGCGGTCCAGTGTGTGGCCCCTGGAGGTCCGCTGCGGGCTGCAGATGGTGCTGACCAGCGGCGCCGGGGAGCCGCAGTAGCCGTGGTTCACCCGGCCTCCGTCCGGCTCGGGTTCGGCTCGGCCCGTCAGGTGGCTCTCGGCTCGGTTGTTCAGACTCCTCATGCTGCCGGACTCGCAGTTTGCGGGAAAAGTGAGTGCGGGCGGCAAGTTGCGGCTTTTCAGCACCTGCGGGAGGGACGACGATGATGATGATGATGATGATGATGATGATGATGATGATGATGGAGGGATGACCTCAGAGGGATGAAGGAGGAACTTTTGTTGTAAAGCTCAGACTAATATCTAGAGTTGCGTAGTAACGAGTTACATTTACTTGAGTAACTTAAAAAATTCTAATAAAAAAATATTTTTTAGTTTAATTATTGGATACCTCTGAGAGAAAATCATCTGTTAGCGACAAGGATGATCAAAAAGGTTTTGATAATTTCTTAGTTTGTTTTCCAACATATCTCTGTTTCAGTTTATTGTTTGTTTGTTCAGTCAAGCCAGTGTTTCTTTCTATTTACTGATTCATTTACTTAAATGAGATTTGGATCTCATTTTCAAGAGGGACCTATAAATAGTATTTTTTATAACAATAGGTTACTTGACTATTATAAAATGTTACTATCTGCCTGGAAAATACATAATATTGCAAAAGCATTGCAGTTTCTGTATCACCTGTTTTTCTTTCTTGGAAAAATACTTCTTATTTTTAACAGGTGATACGTTTTCTGCCAAATTAAGTTGTTTAACATCCAAGGTTACAGCTACTGAGAGACATTTCAGTGAGTCTGACCCTCTGGTAATCGGGGTTGTCATTATTGATTAGCAGCTCGGGCGCTAACAGCCTTCCTCTAGGAAATCAATTAATTGCCTGTTGATTATATTCTCTGTCACCAGCTGCTCACTTGTGACTGAATTAATGAGGGGAGTAATTGAAATGTCACTAAGGGTCTCTGCCCCATTAGCATCAGAAACCTTTGACATTCTTCTCTCCTTTGTCTTCATTAGGTATGCAAACATTCATCCAGAGAGTTTTATTTCTGTTTACATCCTGTAATCTCATGTATATTATCAACATTTGTGTCCAGTGGGATAACCTCACAACAAACACACTCAGATTCACTCTTTTAATATGTCCAACACGAGACAAAAATCAAGCTCAATTCAAATTCAAAACTACTTGATTGATCCCAAATCAGGTGTAATCTCAGTCCAGAAGTTTCAGGAAGCCATCTTGTTGGCATTAATAATCCCAGATATTTTATTTTGCCTTGTAAATACATTTTGCTGACCCAATCATAATGATAAAGACTCAGATCATTTATTATCTGAGTTGTCATTTGTTATTGTTTAAATTCAAACAAAAAATAAAATTCACATCACATGAGGCTATTATGGTTTTTATACTGTCGGCACAAACCTGCAGCTCAGATCTTTGACCAGCTTCTCTGCTTTTCTCTTTATTACTCAGATCTTCAGAGAAACAGCTGCTAGCGGCGATGCTAACAGCGATGCTAACTCAAGGTCATTCAGTTACGAAACTTAACTCCCCGTGATTAAACTCACAATTTCGATGTTCTGTACTTAACAGCTCTCTAATAGCAGACTAAGTCTCCGCAAATATTGTATTATAACCGAAAAGAGAGATGTAATTTCTATCATACATATAGATGAGCTAAAACCCCTACAAATTACAATGAAATACTTCTACTTCCGGTGTGCGCCGGAAGTAGGACCCCGTAAGCCTCCAGAAGGAGAACATGGTAACCACCAACCGTCTATAGCAAGTTAGCCTAACTTTGAAACGAACTTTTAGAATAAATAAACCAAATTTTGACACACTTCACATGTATAACATTGTTAAAAAATGAATCTCTGCTACTTAATAGGTTTCCTTTTTCTCATTTGTGTTTTCTTTTTAGACTTTAAACGAACATTTTCAGATCAAAACATCGAGGAAAAGGAAGCAGCTCCTGTTAGCTGATTAAAAAGTGAACATTATGGACGTTATTTGAACGTTAAAGTTAATGCACAGCGCGTAGGGAGGTCTGTGTTTGGGTGTTCATGCTTCAGTGGCTCTGAACACAGCCATTACACACGGCCATTATCACGCAACAGAGTCTCATTTCTGTCTCCCCGCCTCCCAAGCCTGGACCTTCATCTGCTGCTTGTCCCGTTCAAACAAGTCCTGATTAAAGATTTGATAAATATATATAAACTTTCTTTAACTTCTTAAAGTTAAATCAGTTGAACAAATTAAATCAGTCGTTTTTGGGTCCATTAGACTTATGGAGTAAATTTAGAGTTAATCTCAAAATGGCTTAAAGTTACCTTTTAGGGCAGTGATATCCAAACCTTTTGTCATGGTAATTCTAAAAACTACAATAAAATTACAGTTTTTAAGAATATTTTTACTCATCAAAAATAAACTAAGCATACAATAATTGAAAACTGAAGTTTAAATCATTGTAGTTCCAAAACTTAAATACCTTTTCATTTTATTTAAAGAAAGACATCCAGCTTGTAAACTCTTTTGGGTCCAGATGGAGAAAATAAAATAAAAAAGTGGATTTTTCTCAGCAATAAGAACAAGATGTGGGTCTCTCTCTTTAAAAATGCTTGCTGTATCAAAGTAAATGAGATAAAGCTGATTTTTGAGTTTTGAATGGCATGTAAAAACCTCTGTCACATTAATTTATTGCCTTTTGAGAGAAGCCTACCTTATTTTGTTTCAGAAACAAACTGATATGTTTAGCAATCCTTTTTTTTATTTTTTAAAATTGTCAGTCCTGAGCATAATTAGTCTTTCTTTTTTTTTTTTACATTTCTACATTCAAGGATGCCAGCTATTTCTCATATATTTCAATAATTTTCTTATTTTTTATGTTTGTTGAAACATGTTTAGAAAATCCAACTGACGCTTCAGTTAAATGGGTTGCACTTGGTTTTAAACTGGTTTATTTTTATTTTTACTCCTCTGGTGACATAGAGAATATGTGTTATCTGAGAGCCCAGCAGCTCTGGGTCAAAGGATGATTTACTCCTCTGCACACTCTATGTTATCTCTTGTTTTAGCCGCTTAGCGTCATTTTGGCACTATTTAACAGAAAAGCCTTTCAGTCGGAAGAAATGAATCAACCTGGACTAGATATGCAGCTATCAATTAATGAGTTAATCTAAAGATGACTGATCTTATAGGTCGATTAACAATTAATTGATAAGCAGATATTTTGTATCAAGAAGGCCGACCGTATTTCCATAAGATAAATGGCTACATTTTTCATAATATAGTGAATGAAGAATGTCAATAGTACAACGTCCTGAGAAATGACTAAAAGTCTCACGAAGCTTTCTCACAAAATAATTTTATTATTTATGAACATTTTTAAACAAAATAGATGTTTGTAAAAAATAAAATCTATATTTAAACTCTACAAACATGCATCTTAATTCCCACAAAGACTCTCAATTTATCACAGATTGCACCACATTTTTGCAAGGCTGTTTAAAAACACATCCCCATGTTACATTAATGATATACAGAATTTACACAACAGAACATTTTCTATTTAAAAACAATATACAAAAAAAGATCCAAAAAAACAAGCCTCTTTGAGGCTTAATGAACTGCAACATAAATACATGACAGAAACAATACGAATGTATTTACTGCCCTCCAGACTGGAAGGAAGACCCTCACATTGTCCAACATGGCCGACTTTCAGAGGCAGAACTTGACACTTTCTGAAACTAAACAGGCTGCCTCTGTCGCAGAAAACACCATTTTGTATGAACAAACATACTGTTATAAAACAAAATGCTGACTTGAAACTATTTTTACACCTCCCTCCCCTCCCGCGCAGCGCCCTATGCGTGGACATGATCCAACTCATAAGAAAAGGAGGAGTGGATGTACTCCTGTCCTGTCGGATGCTCGTACCTCATCAGGCATGAGTAACTTTCCGGCTGCATAACATCCAGCTGCAGGTCCAGCCACTGCCGGTGGGGGGCCGCGGGCCTCCGGGTGTCAGTCAGGATCCTGTTGAGGGCCACGATGTAGCTGAGGGCCATCTGCAGGGTTTCGTACTTGGACAGTTTCTTGTCCTGGCCCCACTGCGGGACCACCTTCCGCAGGCGGTCGAAGGCCGTGTTCAGCCCCTGCATCCTCTTCCTCTCCCGGGCGTTGGCCGCCATCCGCCGCCTGGAGGCGGACTCCAGTTTCTCCGGAGCCTTCGAATCCGGCTCCGAGGACTCGGATCCGGAATCGCTGCAGCTGGCACTTCGACGGGACTTCATGATTCAAAGGCAAAACCGGTTCCAGTTCCTCGCTGGCCTTTAAGCTTTTAGCTCCAGAAAGTGTGGTGAGTCGGAGCTGCTGCGGCTTTTATAGGGCAGAGGGGATGAACAGGTGGAGCCCCGACTCCCTCCACGGGAAACACGGACCCACACCCACTCTAACAAACCCTAATGACATTTTAATTATCACAGCCCGGCCGTGCATGGCTTCACTCGGAGCCATGTGTCACAAACACCAAAAGTCGACCATCTGCTGATGACCCAAACAGAGAGGCAGAAACTGGAAATGATGCAGTTTCACTAATGAATTCAGGAGTAATAATAATTTAATAATATCTATTATTATTATTATTATTATTATTTTGAAAACTTTGGAAAAACTTGAAGGTTTTAAATGGGATCTAATCTGCGAGAACTGCAGATGAATAAAGTCGAGAATATAATATTATGTATTTCTTCTCGAAATATTCCCACTTTTCATATTATTATTTATTTCCGTAGTAGTAACTACTCAGTTATATTGACTTGAACAACTTTTTAAAAGTACTTTTCAAGTACTTTTACTATTACTTTTACTGGAATAATTGTAATTGTAACCTGCTTTCTATTCTTATTTGAGTGAAAATTCTGCATACTTTGTCCAATATAGAAACTTAAAGACACATTTTAGCCAAAGTGAGACCTCTAGTTGATACACCAGCTTTGTAGTTCTAATTGAGATTAATAAGATAAAGTACTATTATTTATTGTCACTAGAAGTACATTAGAACTTTCTGATATACACATTATTTACTGTAAGTGTTGATTTTGTGTGAAGTTTAATGTTTTAAAAGTATTTATTTTGCCTAAATTCTGTTTTTATTTTTAATTTAAGTCCCTAAAATTTCATTATTTGCACATAATATTTTTTCTACTTGATGACATCACTTTTTACTCTCACTTGAGTTCTTCTTATGGTGATAATCTGAGATTAGCCTGAGGCAGCAGAAGTGCAAGTGAGGGATTTAACCTGCACATTATGAAAGGATTATTGCGACTACACAATATGGACCAAGATGCTGTGACTGTGGAAGAAACTTAAAGCTGTTGGTTCAAATCCCTTCATGTTGCTTTGTTCACATTAATGTGTCTGGTGCTGCTGGTGAACACATGATGCCAAATGAATAATTGATCTGTGAAGTGGTGCAAGCAGTAACACGTCTGTCTGTCTGTCTGTCTGTCTGTCTGTCTGTCTGTCTGTCTGTCTGTCTGTCTGTCTGTCTGTCTGTCTGTCTGTCTGTCTGTTTCCATCTGCTGAACCCTAAGGAGCAAGTCACACTCAAAACTGTTAGCATTTAGCATTTTAACGTTGCTGCTTGTTGTCGTTTAGATCATTTAATTCACTGAAATAATTAACAACAGATGATATTCTAACATCAAAACTCAGAGTCATAAGTATTCATAAATTAGGGAAAAAATGTATTTGCAATAAAAGGGATGAAACGATTAATCTGCTTAATCGCGATTAATCAATTATAGAATTAATCGTCAACTAATTTAGTAATCGATTAATCGTTAACTGAAAAAAGGCCATACATTCAGAGCAGAAATTTTACCAAAACTGTACATAAATATATACATTTTGCATTTAAGATATTTTTTTTTTCAAAATAATATGTTTTATCCAAAATGCTTTAAGTTGCAATTTTAGATTAACTTGGTTCAGATCATGTTAAAGGGCATGTTGCTGCATTTTAAGCAGTGAAATGTTTATTTCTTTATTTGCATCTTTTAATGTGTTTCTAATGTTAAAAAAGGCTTGCGTGTAAAGCTGAAACGATTAATCAGAATGAATCAATTATTAAAATAATTGTCAACTAATTAAGTGATGGATTGTTAATTAGAGAACAGAAACTTTAAAAAAGCCACTTGGTGAAAAAACATATTCAGAGCAGCCAAAGCTGTAAAAAATACATCTTTTGCATTGAAATACAATAACTGAATTGAAAAATAATTGTAATTTTGCTTACTTGCACTCAGCAATATATTTCTAATATTATATAAAAAAGACTAAAGTGCTAAAATGAAAAATTTGCAGAATGTGCCATTTAAAAATATGACTAATTGTCAAAATAATAAACAGAATAATTGATTACTAAAATAATCATCAGTTTCAAGTAAAATAAAATAAAATCAGTGTTCAGTACTCAAGTATCCAAAATACTTTCTAAACTGCAAAAAATATAAATTAAGACAGGAAAATCATAAAAATTTGAAGGAATTTGATAAATAAGCAACATTTTTTTGATAATTGATCAGTGAAATATTTTATTTTATTAAACCAAATATATTATCATCAGATTAGGCTTCAGAGGCAGGTTATGAAAGATTAATCTCCCAGATTAATGCATGTCGCTGATAGCAGGTCACGCACACACGCTGGTGCTGTCTGGTCATTTCGAGATTGACCAGTTCGCTGTGCATTTGGGCATATAATCCCATCCACCAGTCGGTTCATTTATTACAGATTGACAGTTTGCCAGCTGCTGCTCGTCCTGTCAGGCCTTTACGTGGCTCCGTACTCTCTGGCGTGACTGGCTGATTTAGGCACTGATGCCATATGTCACAGCTGAGGAGCGAGCGGCCTGCCCTGAAAGAAACACGTCTCCGTATGGAGGAGCTGAGATGAAGGAGCTGAGATGAAGGAGCGAAGCGTACACTTCAGAGGAAGAGAAAGTGTCACCCAGGATTCAGGGATTAAAGCTGTTTGGATCAAACTGCAGAATCATTTTCTAAAAAAACAGCAGAAACACTTTTTTGAGCTTCAGCTCTCACTGAAGAAGTTTAGGTTTTAAAATCAAAATACCACTGCTGCCATAATAAAATGACATGATTGGAAATATAAAGCAGGAAGATGCAGGATATCATGTTATTGATTAAAACAGAAACATTTGAACAGATTCAAAGCTCGCAGGAGAAACGCCCAGTTAGCAAGTAGCAGCTGGTCAGACGGGGCTTTGACTCTAATTAGGTCATGTAAGGTGAATGTGATTTTATGCCTGTTTGAACTCCAATCCGCTCTAATTGGACTGATTAGTGATGCTTAATTGGCTTCTGAGTTTTCCCACTTTTTGTTGGAATCAGTTTGAGCCAATATGATACATGAGTGGAGGAAAACAGGCTTCTGTTAGTGATGGATTTACATAAATATCTAAATAAACAAGTCAATAAAAAAACATAATTTCAGAAATGCAGCCAGTAAGTTCAAGAAAGTAACTTTAAGGTTCCAGTAACAAAAGTTTCTGAAAGTGACCGAAAGGTTTCAGTAACATAACCTGCAAGTTTCAAAAAGTAACCTCAAAGTTCAATAAATAGCAAAAAGTACCCAAAAGAAACTGTAATATTCTAGGAACATAACCAGTAACTTCTGAATGTAACCTTACAGTTTATCAAACATAAACTGCAAGTTTTTCAAAGTGAAATCATAATTCATGAAAATAACCAGCAAGTTTCAGAAAGTCACTCGTTCATCATCCAACATGTTAATCTGTAAATGATGTGGAGTGACTGATACAATATTACTTTCATTTTAGGGATTTTATTACTGAAAAAAAAACAAACCTGGAAAATTCAAATTTGCAAACTGGATTTCTATATTTTGCAGAATAATTTGAGACAAAATCCAGAGGAGAATAAACATCCCACTGCTTTGCATAAATATAACTTTATTCTGAGATGGACAAAAGTATTTTACAGCAACTTTACATCAGGTGACCTTCTGTTCGACATCCAGATTTGATTTTATTCATCAAAGTCTGTTACCGCTACCATGGAGCGGAAAAGGGAAATAAAATGGTTTTATTTCTAATGCCAATTTACTTCTCCAAACTTCCAACTTTTACTGTGGATTCATTTCAATAGATACATTTCTGTCAACACGAAGCTCAATTAACTCAAAGAAAGAAAGAGTTATATTAAAAGAAAACATTTTCAGTGGATCAACAAGCTATCGGCAGAGCTGAAGTTTATCTGTAAGCTGCAGATAAGCATGTAAAGTAAAAATATGGAGCTTTAATGTGAACCAAAAAATCAGAAACAATTTTGTTGAATGAAGAAAAAATATGCAGGAAATATTTCAATACAGCAGAGAAAAGGAAAAATTGCAGACACTTTGGTTTTTTTTACACATTTTCTTTTACAATTTATTAATGCAAAACATCAGAAATTAGCTGCTATAAAAACAACTGAGGAGCAATTAAATTTCTTCAGATTTCATTCGAAATAACAAAATAGAAAAATCACTTGTGGCAATCTTTAATTGCTTTTAATACAAAGAGAATATAGATGCAATGTGAATTTGAGAGACATTCTGGATGACTTTTGGACCTTCTGGCTTTCCATAAATTGTATTAGCTTCTGCTTTCTGGGAGAAATGAGGGCAGGAAAACAAAAATATTTTCAGAAACTTACTGAGCCCATTTTAAACCCTTTGCATCCTGGTAAACAACCAATGAACAACAACAATAAGCTTCACTTAATCCAAGTCATTTACCTTATTTTGTAGGAGAAAATATTTATTTTATTTCTAAACTTTTTATTTTATTTTTATAAATAAGTGATGCATTTACAATTAATTTTCCAGTGGAAAAAAATTGTGAAATTTTATTATATTCCACACAACAAAGTTTGCAGTGAACATGAACATTGTGTTAAAACACAATTTTAAATAAATTTGAAAATATCTCCAACTTTTTCCTAATCATGATCTAATAATGGTTTTGTGTGCAGAATTTTTAAGAAAGAGATTCATTTAATAAAATTTGAAATTAAAAGGTGGAAAAACCAAAGTACTGGGAATATTTTTGTAAGTGTTGGGGAAAAAACTAACCGTGTAACTTTCTGAATATTTTAGATTTAAAACGACTTTACAAACCACAGTCCTACTTCTACACATACATTTCACTCATCACAGCAGAAGTTTCTGTCTCTGCATTACAGTGGAAACTGAGAACCGACACCAACATCTTCAGTCTATTATCTCTGCTTTTTGGGGTTCAGCCAGTCAGCAACAAAACAATTATGTTTTTGGCAGCCAACAGTGTTTCATAAACCACCGTATTAGGCCAACGAGTAAATTTACGCCAAAAAATTCTGAACTTTTGAGATTAATCTCAGCAGTATTCTAGGACAAAAACATGGAAATTTTTTAGCTTGAATAGTCAAAAATTTGAAAAAAAAAAAAATATATATATATATATATATATAATTGAATTTTTTTGTTCATTCTCATAAATTTTCTAGAAAAGAATAAATACATTTCTGAGTTTGAAAAGTTACAAATTTACTAGAGAAAAAAACTGAAATTTTGAGATTACTCGGAATGATTTTTTTTTAATATGGAAATTCTATTTTGATATTTTCGACTTTTGAAAATTTTTAGTTTGAAAAAGAAACTTTTGAAACTTAGAAATTTCTATTTTTTTTCTAGAAAATTTCTGAGATTAATCTCAAAATGTTAAATTCTTTTTTTTCCTTGTACATTTTTGAGTTTTAGAGCCCAGAGATTTAGAAGTTTTTCTTTTTTTAAGAAATTTGAGGTCAATCTCAAAAATTAACTTCTCTCTTTGGTTTTGTTTTGAATGCACCCAGAGATTTTGCATTTTCTTTTGCACTTTTAATTCATGCATTCTGAAAAAAGGGCATATTTTCACTTGAAAGGATCTGAAAGTGTCGTTTGCTCATTGCTCAGCTTCAGATGAGCAACCAGCACAAGCAGCTCAGGTAAACAGGCGGCACAAGAAGCCCTTAAGGAGACCAGCAGCGTTAAGCATTCATCGCGTCTTCACAGATAATTATAAGATAAAAATTACGTGAATCAATCAAACCGAAAAGATAAAAATGTCTCAAGTGGCTCATGAGACTTTGCTAAGACTGTGTATGTATTTTTTTTCTGCATGTAAAACTTTGTTCGTATGTCTTTGAGTAAATAGGAATGGTGTAAAACTCTTCTGCTGCGTTTCCATTTATCTTGAAATTGTGCAAATTGGAATTCGCTCAATTGAAACTCTCCAATTTTGGAAAAAAACAAAATTGTTTTTTGATTTTAAAAAATGTTTTGCACTTGGATGAGATTTTTTCAGCTGAATCAAAATTAGTTATCAAAACTGCAATGGCAAAACTGTTTTTGGTAAATCACAAGTCAATTTAGCCTTAATTCTTTTGGCTAAATTTTATTTTATTTTAATATTTTAATGAAGCGCCACAGTTTCTCTTTTTTTTTAAGAAATGAAGAAAAATGTCATATATGTATTTATCTAATTGAATGTGTTTGTTTAAATGTGATTTTTCTGTATGCTTTGTTGTGTGCTTGACATTTGCTTAAATAAAATAAAGATTCATGGGCATAAAAAAGACAACAGAAACTTGTCACGCAATTTTAACTGTGCAGGGGCAGTGTTGTGTAAAATCGTCATTTTTGAGCGTTACATCGTGTTATAATGTTATTACTGCACCTAAAACAAACCTGGAGTGTTGCCATGATTCTTTCATGCTTGTTTGAGAAATCATTTTAATCTCCATGGCAACCATGCAGCCGCCTTGGAGACGCAGCTCCTCCCCCACTAACCCCTTCAGACTAGCCAGCAGTAATTAGCAAACACCTGGCGGAACATTATGGGAGCTGAAGGTTTGCTAAACGTTGTTAAAGGATTAATAGGGGAGCCATGTTGGGATTATTTCCTGAAGTTTCAGAAAGAGCAGGAGTTTTTAAAGAGACAGAGGCCCAATTTCAATGTGTTAAATTACAAAGTCAAAGTTATATTTGATATATTCAGCCTTTTTATAACAACTGAAGGTAAAATAGTTACTTGGTTGTGCTAAAAATGGCGTTACGTGAGAGGAAAACATAATACTGCCCCTTTAATGGAGACGCTTCAATCGTGAAATCATGTTTTTTTACTTTAGCAAAACATCAACAAAGTTTTCTGCACATTTGTAATGGAAACGCAGCTTTTCAGTGCTGATTGCTGCTGAAATCTGAATGCAACACTTCAAAAATGTACCACACAAAATCTGCTCCGTTGGCCTTTTTCCCCGTTAGCCTCGTCGTGTTTGGACCTGGCGGTCACAGAACACGGCAGACGATGCGTCACAGCTCGTCGCTCTCCAGGGTGGCCTCCGGAGGCGAGCTGGCGAACAGGAGGGGGCTGGTGTCTGACGTGGAAAAGGCCGACTTAATGTCGAGGCCCTGGCCTGTCAGAGCGGCGTAGCGGCTGCTCGCTCGCGGAGCTTTCCTCATTGGTGCTGGGATACTCTGATGCCACTGTGCTGAAGACGCAGCAGCAAGCTGGAGTTACTACACAGTTACAGAGCGGATATCTTCAGAAACCTGACAGCTGTGCAGAGTATTTACCATAGATATCAAGTCTGCAGGTGCAAGATACAACTCCAGCATCGTTTTTAGCTGACACAGTGTACCAGCCAGCATCATCTTTTGTTGTTGGATGAATAAGAAGGCAGACATATCCTGTGGAGTCCTGCGTCATGCTGAAATAATAACAGACAGTTCAGACTTATTTCCACCAGCAGACAATTTAATAGTTCAGGAAAATATTTCACAAGAATGTGGTACAGATGTTCACAGAGATTACATCTTTTTTAAAAAAGAAAAAAGTTACCCACTGTAAAATTCAAGATGGATACATTTAAAATGTATCCTTGCACTAAATTTTCCCATATTTATTATAGATTAATACTTTTGGTGTCAAATCGTACATAACTGGACTCAAAGAAATCATATTTCCTTTTTTTTCCAAAATGGCCACCATGGTTGTCAAGGAAAGTTCATTTCTGCACTAAAATTAGCAGTTTCTCCACAAAAATATTTTATATTTCCTTGGTTTTAGGCTTCATATTTTAAAATGGCTGCCATAGCTCTAATGGAGGATACATTAGCAGTCATTATTAGCCAGCTAAATAAATAACTCAGACCACTAACTACTAATTTGCTGAGCAACAATGTTAGCTCTGCTTATGCCAAACTGCTAAAAAACTTTAAAAAATTAGCAGAGGCTAACACTTTAAAAATTAGTGGAAGCTAATGCGAAACACACAAAAACAATTGCTAAAGTTAACGACTAAGATCACTATCTCAACTTCTAATCACTTTAGGACAAACGTAATGTTTAAAAAAGATTAGATTAATTCCTCCATGGTAGCAAAATTATAATATTCTGACCCGTCTACATCAATCTGCCACTAGTAAATATTCACACCCCTTCACTTTTTTATGTTACAAATTATTCAAATCTGACTTTAGTATAATTTCCTTAGAAATAAAAACATAAGGTACTCACCTGATTCTGCTCTTCGTTTTTGAAATTGTTTCATTGTCTTTCTTCCAGAAGATGGCCGGAGGCGGCATTCCCGCCGCACGGCACTCCAGCCTCACCGGCGCCCCCTCAGGAATACCCATGTTCTGCAGCTTCTCCAGGAACTGTGGCGGGTGCTTCATTTCTTTCTCTAAGCAGGGAGATTTTATGGCAAAACAAAAAAAAATGCAGAAAAAAACAAAAACAAAAAACACAAGCTGCGTTTCCATTACAAATGTGCGCAAAACTGACGATATTCCGATAATGTCGGAAAAAAATAAGAACTTCGCAATTGCGTTGTTTCCATTAAATATGAAATGCAATTAAAATCACAGTTAGTTCTCGCAAAAAGTCATTAAAAATATTCTTTGTCGTTTCCAGCAGTAGTAACATCTGGTTGTTTATTATGTGACTCATGCGATGCGAAGACATGTTTTCATTACAGATTTGTGAAATAAATTAATATACAACCAAGAAGTGCCAAAAAGTTCTAGAATTTATTTTTGGTTTTAGTTGGCATGTTTCTATTAGGAAAAATTATTTTCATAATGTCCAATTATCTGGTGAATGGAAACTCAGCTAATGAATGCTAACGTAGCGACACCTCACCAACGACTTTCAGCTCCAGGTTGAAGGAGCTCTGTCCTGCCTTGTTGCTCGCGATACACGTATAGGTTCCCGCGTCGTTCTGCGTCAGCGGGTCGACGACCAGGGAATGGACGCCGTTCTCTCGCACCAGCATCTTGTGGTTGAGGTCTGGATAGATGGGCCTCCCATTGACCAGCCACATCAGCTCAGGGCTGGGGAGCCCACTGACCTGGAGATGACACACCAACAGTAAGGTGGAGCTAAAAGAAGAACAAAACGCTAATGTTCTCCGTGTTTTTAACGGCGCATACTTTGCAGTCGAGTCTGCAGAGTCGCCCCTCGTGAGCCATCATGTCTCCGGGAGCCTGGAGGAAGTGAGGTCGGAAGAAACGCTCCTGGGTTTGTTCGCCTTCCACCTCCTGGATGCGAGTGCGAACCCTGTCATCAGGGCATGTTACAGAACATTTCTGTCATTTCACCAGCAGCAAAATTACAGGATGCAACATTTAGTTAAAAGGTAATCTCAATGAGCTACACAAAACATTTTCATCACATTTTATGCACAAAATAATTTCTAGATAATGAGAATTTAGCTGTTTTATGTCCTCTTGTCACTTTAAATCCAAAAAACCTGCTGCTGGCCGCTAATTCAACATGTACACTCATGAAAACGGCTGCAACCAGATGCACAATTATACAAACTTGAAACTTTGAAAAGCAGAAGTGGAGCCTCCTGCACAACTATCAAGAATACAGCAAGTGGTTTCTGGATAGCAAGTCAACAGCAAAACCCTTGTCTTAACTGTTCAGACTGCAAACACCTTGAAAACATTTGGATACGCATCTGAATTAGATCCGTTTTAGACTAAGGTGAAAAAGTTGGATATGGGTCGCATCTGTCTGCTTTTTAAACTTATGGAACTATTATTTGATGAGAGGACACTAATGTGAAACGTTTAAAGGGGCAGTATTATGTAAAATAGACTTTTTTTTAAACTCATACGTGTTTGAGAAATCCTTTAATTTCCATGGCAAACATTCAGCTTTTCAAAACTCCTGGATTGACATAGCTCTGCCTTCGAGGCAGAGCTCCTCCCCCTCTCAGCTCCTTCAGACTAGTCAGTAGCAATTAGCAAACACCTTGTGGACCTGCTGAGCTCATTATAGAAGCTATTTCTGTGTTAAATGCAGGTAAAATGTTGTTAAAGGGTTAATAGAGGAGAAATGTGGAGATGACTTCCTGAAGGCGGAGTTTCAGAAAGAACAGGAGTTTTTAAAGAGACAGAGGCCCAATTTCAATGCATTAAATTACAATGTCAAATTTCTTTTAATCGTATTTAAATCCAGAAACAGGAAGTAACTTCTTGTTCCTCACACTCCATTTGTCAGATTGCATCTGTCTAAGGTCTGCTCACCTCTGAGACTGAATAGGCGTCAGCCGGCTTCGCGGCGGTCCAGATTGGACAATCAAATGTCCCGAGCAGCTGATTCGTCCCTGGAGATCAACCAAACAGCAAATGCAAAATCAGCTAGAGCCTCCAGCAGGACGCTGTTGACAGAAAGGCCCGATACTCCCAATACTCGCTGTGCACCCTGCACACTCAGTCAAAGTGAACACAAAGGTTCGAGTGCGCAGCTTACAGACATGCAGCAATTACAGACATGCAGCAATTACAGACATGCAGCAATTACAGAGTTGCGGCAGTACGCCTCATTCCAAAATGGCAGAACTACAACAAGCAATCGACTTTAAATGTACTGTATGCGTAAAATCCAGGAATTTTCCTCAGGTAAGAGTAGAAATACTTTATAATAAAATGTCTAAAGTTAAAAAGTACAGTGTGGCAAAAATACTCCTACAAGTACATTTTTACAAAAAAATAACTCAAGTAAATATAACGAGTAACCAGCCTCCTCTGCTCTCTGGTTGCCTAACAACAACTTGTTGAGTAACTCACGCAGCAGCAATTTAAGGTTTCACCTCATCACTGTTTAAAAGTAAAAAACATTATGAAGTGAAAACTGTGAGTGAAACCAGAAGTGTCATTTCACCAGTTTGACAGTATTTCAGATATTTAAAGCATCCTAATTACTGACATGAGCCCGGATGAAACGTTTATACACAAGTTTTTCAGCCCAAGCATCATCGCGCAGCTGAAGGCCACCAGGGCGAAGTGCGAGTTTGGGACCGAGCCAAGAGAGGAAGGATGAAACTGAACCTGAGGGTTGGCGGCCATGACGGTGTAGTTTCCGTCGTCATCAGCGGCGGTGGACTCGATGTGCAGGCAGCAGGTCCCGTCGCCTTCCCTCACCTTCTGGTACTGGGTGTTCTTCTTCAGGATCTGCTTGCCGTCCTTGAACCAGTAGACCTGATCAGGATCAAAGATGTGAGCGACTGTGTGAAGGGAACGACAGCGGACGGTCAGAACTGGGCCGCGTTTCACCTTTGGAGGCGGGACGCCCAGAACTTTACAGGTGAAGGTGACGGGAACGCCTTCCATCGCCTTGTAGTTCTTCAGCTTCTTGTCGAAAACCGGGGCGATGCATTTCCCGGTCGGGATGTCGTCGTGCTGAACCTCGTCGTCCGACTCCTCCACCGGCGTTCGCTCCAAGCGAAACTCGATTTCACTCATCAGCCGCTGCTCAAAGTTGGACACTTTGTACTCCTGAAGAAAGAAAAGCAACAATGTTCGAGTGATCAGGCAGTCGGGTTGGAGCGACGTTTCCACATTTTCATCAAATCTGCCTGAAAAACTGACTATGTTTTGCACCCACATGCAAAAACATGTGCAGGAATCATCAGGCATCCAAACTTATTCCTCACGTAAAGTCAGATGTACTTTAACACAAATTTATAATTCATTAAATCCTGTTTTCTGTTATGTTTTAGAAATTTGTGAAGCTTTTACAAAAAATTTTGAACTTTCATGCAGAGAAGTTTGACTGTCTGTCCTGTACGACGGAGTATCAGGACCAGGCGAAGAAAAAAATATCAAATACAAGAATAAATTCGTATAAGAATAAAGTCATGCGACAAAAAGTTCATTTTACGAGAATAAAGTCATAAAAATGCGAGAAAAAGTCAAAAAATTATGAGAAAAAAGTTGTAATAAAACCTGAAAGTCATAATATTACCAGCATGAAATTCTAATAAGAACAGAATAAAGTCTTAAAAAGTGATATTATGAGAAGTTCTAATGCAAGAAACAAGTCATAATTATACAAGGCTACTCAGGACTAAACAAGTGGAAAGTGGCGTAACATACAACAATAAACTCATAATATTGCCAGAATTAAAACATAATATTATCCGGATAATCTCACACTGTGCGAATAAAGTTATAAGATAAAAAAATCATCAAAAGTCATAGTATACGACACAAAGTCATATACCAAAAAAAAATAATAATAATACAACAAAAATGTCAAATTTTACCAGGATAAAGTTGTAATAACTTGTAACAATACAAGAATAAACTCATAATCCTAACAAAATAAATTAGATCAGAATTAACTAGTAATTTTATGAAAATTGATTCACAAGATAAATAAAATGAGGAATATTAAGAATCTTGTGAAGTTATTCTTTGGTATCAGTTTTACATTAGGAGATATTTAATCTTTTAACACATCAGCATCAGAACTTTGTAATAATTATTAAACTTTTTCCTCGTATTGTTACGACTTTCTTCTGGAAATATTATGTCTTTATTCTACAAATATGATTTTATTCTCATAATTTAAAAAAAATAAAAAATCCAAGTTAATTTAGGTGGTGGAAAATCTGATGCGCAGTCAAACCAAACAGATCAGAGTAAAACAGAAATAATCGCCCAGTTTCTTCTTATTCTTCGGATCCCAAATAAAGCCACAAATTAGTTGATTGCATCTCAAGCCCTTCATGGGACAATAATCAAGATAAAATTGTTGCCAAAGCTTCAAGTGGAAAGTTGAGATGTAGATTTAATAAGAAGCTGAAAATTTAATGAATTTTCCAATTAGTTTTGATTGAATTATTCGTGCATGTTATACATTCGTGAAGAGATGCTTAGCTGCTGGATTTGCGATATTAATTAAAGTGGTTATTTGTAAAAGAACAGAATAATGAGTGGTATTTTGAAAGATTCAGGTTTGAGACGGTAACTCATTTAGCCTGGAGCAAAGCAGAGCCATGGAAGATCCTTGTACCTCATCATAGTTAATGACAGTAGCAGCATTGTTTGGTCCAAGGAGTCTGCTGGCTGTTTCCCCCTTAACACTCAGCTTCTACGAGAGGACAGGGATGGATGAACACCAACGACACACAGATGGTACAAACATCCTGCACAGGCCTGTCGCAATAAGAAATCAATACATAGCTCCCACAGGTCTGAACCGGAAATGATCAGCGCCATCTTGGTAGGTAAATGCATGGCGGACTCTTGGCTTCGAGAGAAAATACCGGTATGTGTGTGAGAGAAAGGCACTTAAAATCCTTATGGAGTAAAACAATCAGTTCGGGTTGCTCTTACTGACCAATTGGAGCGATTTTGTACAAATGTTTTAGTTACATTACGGCTCCCGTAGTCTGGAGAGTAATACATACTGCGCTTTGACGGACTGACTTATCTGACTGTTTTGTTGATACATGAACAAAATGGCGGCTGTTGGGATCGACTCTTATGAGACGGAGAAGGAAAAATATGTCCGATGATGTGGACACGCGATTTCCTGTTCCGATGTGGCTAACTAGCTAACTAGCCCGTGAACACGAAGAGGAAGTACTCCATAGCGGAGCTTCGAGGCCTGAACAATCAACTTTACAAATGATTTGTAAAGAACTTACGAACTCCTCATGTGAATGTCGAGGTTCTGGTGCCCGACGGAGTCAGTACGTAGTGACAAACACGCAGATAAAAGCTATATTAGCTAAGCTAATTTAGCTAGTACGACGTTCTCTACTCACACAGAGGTGAGTAGAGAACGTGTAATAGTTATAATTTGTGTTGTTTATACATTAGGAACGAGGCTGGAGCTAACTCCAGCTAACTGTATGCTTTTAGCAACTCCACAGCAACCGCCTGCCAAGGTGGCAAAGTTCATGGAAGCGTGACGTCACATGAGAGCTTCGTATTAACTGCATGATGAATTAAAACGAGCTCAGTAGTTTCTGTTTGCACCATTTGTCAGTTTCTCTCTTTCCACCAAAACTGGATGATAAAAGTCTTCAGTCTTTGGTGTCAACTCGATGTTTTTTGGGAGATCATTTTGTTTCCAGAGGCTTCATAATTCATCTTATTTGTTGTTTTGTTTATTTTGAATATTTAAAATGTCTCCAAGTTCCAATGTTAAATATTCATTAAAATTATTAACATTTTATTACTTGAAAATAGTCTCAAAACCAAAATATTATCCTTTATTGCAATAATTTCAGGGAGAATTTATCGTCTGGAAAAATTTGTTATTGTGACAGGCCTAATCCTACAGGCTGAGAAAAAAAACAACCACACACACAAGCTGCAGGTTTGAGCGTGCAAACTGTGTGTTGTTACTCTGTGAATGACATGGATGATGGAGGCTGCAGCACCTCGATATGGAGGAAGATTATTACGTGTGCGAATTAGTCTGAATCCATGTTTATCCAAACATGAGGGGACAATGCTTACATGCAACATCCTTTTACACATGTTCACACACCTGGTGGAAACGTGTAAAACAATCCCATGTAGAGAAATACTTTGTTTTACATGAAAAGCTGTGTCTGCTTTTACTCTTTTTCTATATAATTTTATAAGTTTGGAGGAGAACAGAAGTTGTAACATTTGTCTTCTGTTCAGTGGTTTTCTTTCACACAGAGTTAAACTTTAAAAATAAAGTTGGTTGCACAGAAAGGTTTCAGATTTCAGACGGTACCTGCTGATGTGCAAACTGAGGAGCATCACTTTTTAACTGCAGTGTCTTCTCCATGTCCTGGAGGAGAAGCTCTTTGCTCTCAAGGATGTTTTCAGCTGATGGCAGGCGAGTCTTGGGAGTTTTCTTTTTGACCCTGCAGAGGATGAAGATGCAATGAAGGTAAAAATCTATTGTTTTCTCGCTTTCTATCCTTTTAATTCAAATCTGATATGAAAAAAACTAAATCAAGATTCTATTTTTGAGCCATGTTGTCCAGCGCCAACTCGTTTCAGGGTTTGTTCATAGCAATGCTAGCTAGTCGCAATGCTAGCTAGTCGCAATGCTAGCTAGTAGTAATGCTAGCTAGTCGCAATGCTAGCTAGTCGCAATGCTAGCTAGTCGCAATGCTAGCATTCATCAGGAGGAACTAGGGCTGCAGCTGATTGTTATTTTACTAATCACTTCAATGTTCAATTATTCTGACAATTAATTAGGTAACAAAAAAATGCACTTTTTACATTGTCATTTATCCACTTAAGCTCTTTATATACATTAAAAAGTTTTGGCTCAAACATATTTACAGACAAATGTGTTTTTACCATAAATGTAAAATATATTTTTGTACAATTTTAGATTTATTACAGCTCTTAATATGTTTGTTTTATTCACAAAATTTATGTTTTTTAGTTGATTAATAATGATTATTTAAAAAGTTGATTAATCAGATTAATTGTTTGCGCCGTAGAGGGACTCACCCTGACGGAGCTCCTTTGGGAAGCCCCATGGAGTTGGTGGGCTGACTCGGGCTCAGTGACGGCAGGACGGAGCTCAGGAAGGCCACCGGGTTCTGGATGGGGCTGGGCGAGGAGCTGCTGGAGGTCGGGGAGGATGCCTGTGGCGGCGACTGGGCCCGTAAGCCCAGACCGCTGTTCAGGAACGTGGGAGACGACACCAGAGACGGAGGACTGGTGGGCGACTTGAGAACCCTGGTGGGGGAGAACCTGAGCGGCGGGGAGAACGGCGGTGGGGTCGGGGAGCTGGCCGCCGACGAATTGAGCTCGGCGGCCAGTTCCTGCAGCAGCGGAACCGGCGATTCTGTCGGAGACGGACTCCTGATGGGCGAGAGGGTCTGAGCGGCGATGAACTCCTTGGGCCGGGTGTAGCTGAAGGACACGGCGGTCAGGTTCATCAGGGAGGCGTGAGTGCTCCGGAGCTGAGGAGTTGGGGACGTGATCTGCAGAACGGACGAGTCTGGTGGAGCGGCGCTGAGCTTTGGAGCCGTCGGGGAACTGAACTGGGGTTTGGGTCCGGCTCTGCTCAGAGCCGCAGGGGAAAGGTTCAGATGGGAGGCGTGGATGGTGTTGGTCAGACTGGTCACCAGGGGGGACGTGTTGAGGTGAGGAGCAGCAGGAGGAGTCCAGGAGGCGGCGCTGAGGGCTGGGGCGGAGCTGAACGAAGGAGCTGGAGGTTTGGTGGCGCTCAGCGGAGGAATCTGAGGTTCACGATGCATTCTGGGAGACCACAGAGGAGCCTCAGAGGGGCTTTGGACCTCAGAGGGGAGCTGGGTCTGGAATGGGTGGTGGGGCCGGTGATGGGTGTGGGGTTTGGGTTCGCTCTCCTGCTGCTGCTCCATGAGGACCTGGTTGTGCAGAAGCTGAAGCTGAGCCGGGTCCCTGTTGACGGAAACGAACGTAAACCGACAGAGAGCAAAACAAAGTCCTGCATGGACAAATAAATTTTTCAAAGATTTTACGTATAATGTCTGAAAGATTTGACTTGAATTTGTTTCACTTGGGTTGATAGGTAACAGGCTGGCCTCTGCTGTGGTTGCTAAGTAACGGCGCAGCATCCAAATGCGATTTCGTCTGGAGGATTTTGAAACTGCTCGTTTTCCAGACACCAAAGAACATCTGGAGGATTTTGAAACTGCTCGTTTTCCAGACACCAAAGAACATCTGGAGGATTTTGAAACTGCTCGTTTTCCAGACACCAAAGAACATCTGGAGGATTTTAAAACTGCTCGTTTCCAGACACCAAAGAACATCTGGAGGATTTTGAAACTGCTCGTTTTCCAGACACCAAAGAACATCTGGAGGATTTTAAAACTGCTCGTTTTCCAGACACCAAAGAACATCTGGAGGATTTTAAAACTGCTCGTTTTCCAGACACCAAAGAACATCTGGAGGATTTTAAAACTGCTCGTTTTCCAGACACCAAAGAACCTTAACTTTTTGCCAATAAACAGTCGAGTGTTTTGTTTTTAAGCGCTTTGACCGTTTTTAAAAGCAGTTGAGACCCAAATGGAAGCACAAAAACATGCAAAATGTAAAATTTCTCCTTAAATTAAAGAGCAATAGACTTTATTTACTGTTTAGGAGATGTCTAAACTGGTTTCACTGGATTTAGAGGCATCAGGATAAGAAATAAATGCAAATTAAGGTTGCTCTTTTTAATAAAAATGGTAAGACATGGTATACTTTGTGACAAAATGTGTAAAAACCTTGAGGGGGTTGAATACCTTTGCAGAGCTCGCTGTGTTTTATGTGCATGCAGGGAAGCTGAGAAAAACCGAGCTCTCCTTTTATGGAATCAAAACAAGTGGCTCACAAACAGCAACGACTCTTTTCCAAACAAATTTACCTTTCAGGGTTAGCAGGTTTCAGCTTATTTAACAACTTATTGCATTTCTGCGAAACAGTGAACTATATTTTCAAGCTGAAGTCTTTAATAAACAACCAATAAAAGGCAAGTTTCTGCAAATACGAACAAAAAGAAGTAAACTTACAAATAAAAAACGCCATCCTTTGTTTTAGAAAGCCTGAAGGTCCACATTTTCACGTCTGCATGTATGAGTTTAATAACTGAAATGTTTGCAGCTGCTGTGTGAGTGAAAGCAGGAGGAAGCGCGCCGCCTCCTCTGCAGCGTTGACGCATCCCTCTGCATAACTCGCACAACTCTGAGGCACGAATGCAAACAAATGGTCGACTAATGGTTTATTGGATCAAACTTAGTTCACAGCGATAAACTAATAACGCCAGTTTCGACTTTCTTTGCGTGTTGCAGTTTGGCTTCCATCCAGCAGAGGGCGCTGCTTTGCTGGATGGAAGCCGTAAATAAGGAAAACAAAGATGGCGCCCTGCCGAGCTACATGACGCAGCAAAAGCAGTTGATGTGCTGCAAGGTGAGAATGTGTCACAGAAACGCGGCGGATTTAACGGAGAAAAATCGCAACATGATGAAAAAACATGGCGCCAAAACGCCCGGTTGTTTCTGAGGGCTGTGGCGAGTTAATGCAAATTTCAACTTTCCTTCAACAGTAACAGACTGTAGTTCTGTATGAATATCTCTGTTTATGGGGAATTAATTTTGTTCTTGTAAAATCTCCTTAGTAACACGAAAAGGCTGATTTGTTATATTTTACTATTAATTGATCCAAGTTTTTGGGAAGTTTTGGTTTCTATTCATGTTTTTTGCTAATTTACTGCCAATTTTACTATATTTTTTCATTAAACTTAAATTTTATCAGCTTCATCCTGGCTCTACTTACAGTTTGGGCTTGGCCAGAACTGGCGGCGGCTCTTTGCCGTACAACGCCAGACTGAGGTCTTCGTCGTAGTCGCCTTGTTCTTCGTCCTCCTCGTCCTCGGGGAGTTTGAAGTGGACGCGCCGGCCGACTCGAGCCCCGGATCGGGAGTCTCTGTGGTTCGCCAGGGTTCCTGTTTTCAGGCAGGAGTTGGGCGGCGGGTCGGGCAGGGGAACCACGCCGCTGCCGCCGTTTGGCCAGTTTGGGGCTGCCTTGGCATTTCTATCCGACGGTCTGGACGCTTTCTGCTCAGACGTATTCGCCGCCGCAGGAGAAACGGTGAAAGGCCTTTGACTGGAGAAAATCTGCCTGGGGTTCTGGAGATCGACGCCTGGACCACTGGACCCCGAGACGCTGTCCAAGTTCAGGACCGAGGGCTCCAGACGGAGGGTGCTGGTGTTTAATGGGTCGAGGCGTAACGTGCTGGAAACCAGCGGCTCGAGGCGGATGCTGCTGCTCACCGTGACCTCTGGCTGGGAGGTCACAGCCAGAGCCGGCGGGGTGAAGGCCTGGCCTCGGCGGGACTCTGTCAGGGACCCGCTGAAAGGCCTGGCATGGCTACTGTCGCTGCTGTTAGCTGAGAAAAAAAACGTGTAAATTTACCCAGAAATACTTTAAGGCTCAAACGATTAATCACGATTAATCATTATTGAAATGGTCAACTAATTTAGTAATTGATTAATCGTTAATTGGAGTATACAGATTTTTACAAAGGCCACTTGGTTAGAGCAGTAAATTAGCTAAACTGCATATAAATAAATATCTTGTGCATTTAAGATAAAAACAGCGTTGCCTCACCTGGTTCAGATTTTCAAAAGGAATAAATTTAGGGAATAAAATACTTATTTTCTTATTTAAAAAGGAATTTAATTAATTGTCTATTAGCATTTTAATGTATTTCTAATATTGTGTAAAAAAAGATTTAAACGGTTAAATAAAAAATCTCTAGAATGTGCAGATTAATCATCAGAATAATAAATAGATTAATCGATTACTAAAATAATCATTTACCCCCTGAACCTCCCACATGTTTCATTCTGTTGAAAGAAAGGGGAGTTTTACCTTTGACCCTCAGAGCAGCAGAGCTGGATACCGTTCCATAATTGTTGTTGGCTGTGCAAGTAAACATCCCTGAGTCCTCTGGAAAAACCTCAGCTATAACCAGCGTGCAGATTTCCTCTGCAAGAAAAACAAAACAAAGAACCCTGCATCACTTCAAACAGCCCAGCATCAGCAGCGTGTTTTTCTGCGCATCATTTCAGCTGGGAGTCGGTGTGCAGCTGCTGCAGGAGGACCATCAGCCATGCATGGGGGATACCTTATAAGGTCCAGTCTGTGGGAGTAGCAGCCCTGGCTTGTGTACAGAAGAAGAGCCGAGGACTGTAAACACTGCAGCTCCTCTAAACGCTGCTGTGCTGAACTTAGCTCGTGTTTCAGACTGAACGAGTTTCATACCTGGTTCTGCTGGAGATCTGGGCTCTGAAACAAGAACAGAAACCAATTTCAGTCACAAACTCATCTATAAGAAGCTTTTTTAACAAATTCATGATGATTTTTGTTTGAGAAATAAATTTAACATGAACGCAGAGCTCATTTAGTTTCCTCTTTAGTTTCTGACCTTTTCCAGCTGCAGTAAAAGCAAAAGTTCAATTTGTCCAGTTACAAATTTCACTTCATAAAGAGAAACTTTGCCGTTATAACGAGACATAAAACTTGTTTCATTACAAAGCGGCAAGAAACTCAATATTTACAACAAATAGCGTCATATGAAACTCGCCTTGTTTGACAGAGAAACTGTCTTGTTGTGACTCAATAAAACTCACCTCAAAATGAAACCCATGTAAATAAGAAACGTGCGTTATAACGGTAAACATGTTCGTTATATGGACATATAAAAAGTGTCTCCATGTCCCATAAAAAACCAGAGTGGTAGATAAAAATATCATTCAACCAAAAAACTTATCATCACAACAAGAAAGTTTCTCTTTATGAAGAGATATAAAATGTGTCTTGTTAGAACAAGAAGCTCATTAAAACAAATATGCATGCCACACTTTTCAGTCTTTTTTTCTGGTAAGTCATCCATGTCCCCTCTGCTTCACAGATCAAATTCACAGAAGTGTGAACATTTGAGAATCACATTAAATAAAGAACAAGCTGCTCTTAAATGCCTCCACTTTTTCTTCTTCTGCTATGAAAACACAGGCAGCAGGTTTTACTTTTCTGCAGGATCCTGAACTCAGGCGAGTCCTCCAGGAGTTTTCCGTCCCTGAACCAGTCGACCCGCGGAGACGGGACTCCCTTCACCCGGCACTCCAGCACCACCAGCTGGCCTTCTGACGCACTCAGCTCCTGGAGGCTCTTCACACAAAACAGGAAACAGAGGGAAACATAAACACAGCTGGAACCACATATTTACATGCACACAGTCATTTTTTTCTCATACGCATTTATGTCAGAATTATCAGTTATGTTTATTTGCTAAATTCTGCAGCAGGAAACCCAGCAGTTCTGACCCAAGTGTTACTGATGAGACGTATGCAAACTTCTGGTTTGTACCTTGGTGAACATCGGGGCGGCCATGACGGACGGCCCGGTTCTTTCCTCTGAGTGGAGCTGGCCGAAGGTCGCAGTCTGCAGGAAAACAGAGCCGGGTAGAAACTACGTGCATTTACTCAATTACATCTACTTTTTAAAAAAAATGACTTTTAGGAGTATTTTTACTAAGATGCACTTTTTACTTTTACTTGAGTTATTATAAAGTATCTTTTCTCTTATTTTTGTAAAAGTTTCTGGATTTTCTACCTACTGAAAGAAAAACAAACTAAATTTTACCAGACATAGAGACACAGCTGCAGTTTTTATTAAAGTTTCAGAAGTTTTTAATTGAAAGAAACTGACTAGGGGGGAAAATGCTAAAACCTTTTGTTATTTATATTAATTATTTTCATTTTGCTGTTTAAAATATCAAAATTACCAATATTGTGGCGCGTCTGACAATGTAATTTTGAAGCATGATTGATGCATTGATCAGTACTTTTTCACCAAATCCTGTTTTTCTGTAACTTGAGTAATTGGTGCTGCTCTTTCTGCAGGACATGTTTGGGAACTCTGCCCTGCTCTACTGAAGATCCAAACAAATATTTAGAAACGCTGAAATAGAAATGCTGCTAGAGTTGAACTGATACATTTTCAGAAATGAACTCAGTTCTGGAGCAACAATAATCACATTCTTTGCTTCCTGTTTTGGAAAACTTCCCAGGAAGTCATGTGGGTTGTAATATTTTGGATGCAGATGGAAGCCTTGCAGTTTGTTTACCTGCAGTTGTGGCGTTTCTGCTGCAGTGGACAGAATGGACGACCCGGCTGGATTTAAAGCCAATGTTGATGCGTTTTCAGTTTCTGTTAGTTCTGCTGAAGTGGGAAACACCTGCACAGGTAGAAGTCTTTGCTCCTCCCCAGCAGGAGGGGCCAGGGTCACTCTGGAGAGCTCGGGGACTTGCAGGATGGTGGCAGACGTCCGGACCGGCAGAGGAGCTTCTGGAGCAGTTTGGGTCAAATCCTCCTCCGGTTGCACTGCGAGCGGAGACGATGCCGAGTCGTCTTCCTTCACAGGCCGAGTTTGGTTTGACGACTGAGGGAAAGATCTAGATGACTTTGGTTTCTGCTGCAACCTTAAAAAAACAAACACAAACAGATGTGAGGCAAGAATAAGATTTTGCAGATTTAGTTGTGAAAAGCAGAAATGTATTTTATTTTAGACTTTCTCACTTTTGGAAATTACTTAATTAGAGATGCAATTTATCCACTAATGAGTTAATATGAGCGGCCATTTTCTTCAAAACCTGAGTTTTCTCTTGCATTGAAACATAATTAAATTTAACACTATTTTGTGTCAGGAGTATTACACATTCACTGAATAAGCAGAAATTTGTGGTTTTCTCACATTATTAACCTTCGTAGCACATCAGTAACATTTGGCAGAGAAGTCGTCGCAGCTCTATTCTTATTTTAGTAAAAGTTTCTGGATATTAAAGTGAAACTTCAGGAGTTTGTTGAGTGAACCGCATTAAGTGATTTTTTTTTTTTGTCTTTACATTCTGGTTCGGCCGCCATCTTGTATCCACTGGCTGTGCTGGAGGATGACCAGAGGCTCCCTCTGCTGGATGGCGGCCGAACTACAACACTGGAAGAAGATCTAATGATTGAAACTAATTTGAATCTAATAAACCAGCTGTTAGACTTTACAACCGTCACTGCTCCCAGTGAACTCAGACATGTTTACATCCCTCCTATAAACTGTTAATTACTTTATGACAAATAATGATTAATGAATAAAAACTAAATAAATACATAATTAGTTATCAGAAGGTAAATTTCTGACCAGATTGATGCGAGTCGTGACAGTAAAACTCACTGGGCTCCATGATCAACTCGCTGTTCAGCCTCAGAGTCTGAAGAAGAAGCACCTGCAGGATGAGACAGGCGTGAGAACAAAGCTCTGAAGAGCTTTGTGGCCTTAGATAAACGCGAGCCTCACCTTCAACATAGATCTCAGCCGACGTAGAGTCCGTCCCGTAGACGTTGGAAGCGAAGCAGGAATATCGGCCGGTGTCTTCCTCGAACGCCTCTGCTATGACCAGAGAGTGAAGCTCGCCGCTGGTGATGATCTGAATGTCAGGGCTGTTTTCCAGCTCTTTTCCCTCGCAGAACCACCTGGAAGTCAGCAGAAAGGAACTGTAGACACTTTCACTCCGACACTTCAGGCCGATAAATAGGTTTTTATCAATTACTCTCTTTTGGTTTTTGAAGATTATTTGAAAAATCAATGATTTTTCCCCAACCAATGCACTCATTGGGTTTCCAGTGATGTCAGCACTGAAGGCAGCCATCTTGTTTGAGAACCATGTTTTACAGTTTGTATTTATTTGTACATTAAATTTAGGTCAAATCTACAATTAAATATTCGTGTTTTAAATGTTTTTCCTTTTTTAAATATAGTGAAAAAGTCATCGTCGTATTATTATGACTATTCTCATCATATGAGAATAAAATCTTAATATTTGAAGAATGAAGTAATAATTTAACAAGAACTCAAACACACACACAAAAAAACATAACACTTTATTTTTTGGACAGTTTTGCGTGTCAAATAAAGATGTTGGTGGTTGTTGGTTTTTTTGCTCCTATTTAACTGTTTCTGGTCTGGATCCCATCAGCTGGCCAACAGTTAAAGACTTTCATGAGCAAATCGCATCTTTACTGGCACCAGTAAACCAAGAGAAATCAGAAAGAAGAAATATTGACGTAGTTTGACATAATGTGGTGTAAAGTAACATTTTAGCTGTAAATCTACAACAGTAAACATCAAACTCCTCCGTCCGGAGCAGCAACATACCTCTACGTCAGCGTGTGTCTATTTTCAGAGGATGAGGCCTTCATACTTCATAAAATCCAGCCAATGGCTGATCAAGAAACATATGATGGTTGCTGTTGGTGTCAACGCTCAGCAATAAACATGTCTGCACGCAAAAACCCGGACAGTGATACAAGCGTTTACGGTTCTGTGGTAGCAGGAAGAGAAAAAGCCACACACGCGGGATTTCAATCCCAAAACAACAGCTGGAGGGTCCGAGCAGAGCCGCTTCTGATGAGTAAGGGGCTAAATTGAAAGCATGAGTAGCAGATGAGGAGGCGGCTGGCCCACGAAGGCGAAGACCCGGCCTCGCTGCACCTGTCTGGGCTATTTTCCCTCCTGAGATCAGAACCAGAGAGGAGGTTTCCTCTCCGACTCACTGACCTTACGCACGACACTAAACATAGACTCAGTACACACAATGCAGAATGTGGACACACAGTGCAGCACTTTACGACAACGTCGGCTCCTTGAAGTGAGACAAATCACAGCTGAAACTGCAAAAACAGCCAACTAGCACTGAAACGATTAATCGGATAAACCACGATCAATTACTTAAATTGATTATTTGTTAACTGGAGTATATAGACTCAAAAAAGGCAATTTGTTGAAAGAACAACACACACAAAGTTGTATTTAAGCCAAAACTGGACAAAAATACCTAATTTTTTTATTTAAGTTTAAGGAAATCCTTTTTTTTCATCAATATTTTCCACCTATAGGATTTCAAGTTCCAGTTTTAGCTTCACCTGGTTCACAGATCAAAATCTTTTAATTGCTATTAATTAGTTCATTCAAAACATAACAGATCCGCCAAATGTTGTATCAACTTTAAGTCGAGCAGAAAGGACAGAGCTCTTCACGTTAATGTTTGAAGTATTTGTTTAGCTTCAGATGAATCCTTTGCTTCAAACATTCACTTAAAGAATGTTATGTTGTTGCATCTTGGGCAATAAAATGTTTACTTTATTATTTAAACATTGAATGTATTTTAAATGCATAAAAAAGCTTCGGTGCAGAGCTGAAATGATTAATAATGATTAATTGATTAGTGAAATTGTATTAAACTAATTTAGTGAGCAATTATTTATTTGGTGAAAAAACAACATAGTCATAGCAGTAATTAAGTCAAATCTGTACAAAAATACATTTTGATTGATGTATAAAAATTAAATGAAAACTCTGCAGAACATGTAATTTTTTTTACACGATTAATCGGTAAGTGCTGCATCACAACTTTCACCATGAACCACACAAAATGAGCTAACTGTGAAACAGAGGTCACATGAATGTCAACACAAACTCATAAATGCATCATCTGAGCAAAAACTATTCAAGTAATCTCACCGAGCGCCTCACAGTTCCGTCAGGAGCCGAGCCGGTCCATTATCAGACAGGACTGCAGCTCGCGTTGCCAGTCCGGTCTAAAAATGGCCGGCAGCTACATTCTCCACGGACACGTATAAGTTAGAGGCTCAACAATGTTCAGGAGGACCAACAAGAACATGCCCCCTATAGTCCGACCTCTCAGCTGCTGCCCGCCGCAGCTCTGGGAGGAAACCCAACAACAGCGGCACAGACGGGAAACCAGCTGAACGCAGCGTGAGAAATAACGACCCGTCACATGTTAGAGCATTCTGATGATTAGTTGTACGGAGGAGAGATCTGTGGACAACTCTGACTGATTGCTTTCACAATTTACTCCACTCAACACACACACACCATTCAGAACCAGGACCAGCTGCTGGCCATCATCACATGTCACTTCTGTCGGGATGGCCCAGGAACAAACAGCATCTTCCCTCCCACCTCCTGATCCCTCGGAGATTATTTGATAGCTAGAGATGTGTGTCAACTCTGAAAGTGTCAGTAAAACATTCTCAGTTTCTCTCTTTGACGGGAGACTTGACAAGTTACATAAAGCTGAATAATATGGAGCTACATCAGGGCCATAGTTTGTTCAACATGTATATATAAATATATAATACTTTCTGTGTCCTTTGTGTTGCTGGATTGTTGATTTGATTCTTTCATACATGTTTGAGAAATCCTTTGATCTCCATGGCAACCATTCAGCTGAGCAAAATGCCTGGAAGGACCTAGACCCGCCTTCGAGGCATAGCTCCTCCCCTGGCTCCTTCAGACTAGCCATCAGCAAAGAGCAAACACCTGGAACTGCACTCATGATTGGAGCTACTTCTCAGCACAACCAGGTAAAAATATTGATAAAGGGTTAATAGAGGAGCCATGTTGTGATGACTTCCTTAAGGCAGAGTTTTTAAAGAGACAGAGGCCCAATTTTAAGGTGTTAAATTACAATGTCAAATTTCTTTCAAGTCATATTTGATATATAACAATTGGCGATAATAGTTACTTCATCATGCTATAATATGGCACTATACACCTGGAAAGCACATAATGCAGGTTATTTTTTCTTACCGGACTTCAGGGCCAGGATGTGCCCTCACGATGCAGTCCAGCTGGACCTTGGTGCCTTCAGGAACCTCCCTGCTCTTCAGCTTCAGGATGAAATGTGGAGGTTCACCTGCCGGCTCCGTGTGGTTCGGACTCTCTGTCAGCGCCAGGCTTTTGTCCAGATCCTCTGTTTCTTGAGAAACGCAGTCAAACTGCTCCTCTTTAGGAACCGTGCAGTCCTGAAACTCCACTCGCTCGCTCCCCGGGTCCTGCCGGGCCGCCGCCGGGCCGGGCGTCTCCTGCTCCACCTCCACAGCAGGCATGGCGGCGCGCTCCCTGTTGTCAGGGCTGATGGGGTAAACCGCATCGTCCGTTTGGGTTTTGCTCTGGGTCCTGGTCCGGTGAGCCTTGCAAGCTCTCGGTCGAACCCGCTTGGAGCTGTTGGCCTTGAAGAGGGAAGAGAGTTCCTCAATGAAGTCCGCCGCCTTGTTGAGGAACTCTTTCTTGGACTGGGTCTCCAGACCATACGGGGAGCTTTTGGCCAGACTGTTGGTGTCGTTGAGTCCTTGGTTGCCGTCCTCACTGGTCCTCGTCATGTTGTCTTGCCTGCTGCCAGAATTGGGTTGGAACCTGTTACATTTACTCAATTACATTTGCTTCTTTCATTTTTCAGAGTATTTTTACTATTTTGGTCAGTGTGATGATGCAGTGGCGATGCAGTGGACGGTGCAGTGTGATGATGCAGTGTGACGGTGCAGTGGACGGTGCAGTGTGATGGTGCAGTGGACGGTGCAGTGGATGGTGCAGTGGATGGTCAGCAGAAACATGCTGCTCTCACTGGGCTTCTCTACTGACCTCTGCCTGCTGAGCGTCTTCCTGTCAGGTGTGAACCAGGCGGATGAAGATGCAGGTAAGTGGTTCGAGACCGGAGCCACGGTGGATAAAGAAACTGTGGTTTGGGAGAGGTGGTTGGTGGCGTCACTTCCTGACGTCACAGCGGCCTTGACGTCGCCTTTCTCGTCTCGGGTCTCGTGTCCGATGGCCTGGCAGGCCAAGTTGACGCTCTTGTCCAGCTCCTCCTGGCTGAGGAAGGCGGACAGGTCTGGGAACGGGGCGTCGTTGTGGCCCACGGTTTCTTCGCCTTTGGCTTTCAGAGAGCCGTAAATCTGGAGGCGGGAGGAAGGCGCGTCGGCGCGGCTGGTCTCGCCGTGGCGGTGCTGGGCCCGGGCCTCGTAGCTCACCCTCAGCAGCTGGGAGAGAGAGGGAGGCTGCTGCGGGTCGTCCTCCATACTGCCGACATGACCACACATCACTTCCAGACACTCAGAAATGAAGTCAGGGTGTTATAAAAAAAAAGTTCAAACATTTCCTGACAGTTCTCCCACATTGACTCATTTGTTTTCATCATTTCCATTTTGTTTGGATTGATCAGCTGACAGCATCTCTGCAAAGTTATCCCTACTGACAAACAAAACTAAACAAATAACATCAAATACATTTCTGATATTGTATAAAATGATTCGAATATGTAGAATGCGGCATTTGTTTTTCGATTAATTGTTATTTGCAGTCCTAATTAATACATTTCTTTCTTTGCCCTCAATTAAACGCCACGCAGTGTGTTGGTTTTTCGTATAAAATCCCTAAAAACCCCAAAACATTAAAACGTTACAGTACAATGACCACGCAACAATCTTGCAATTATTCCTGAAATTAAGGCGTGCAGTAAAAACGGTATTTTATTTGGGCCGGATTGCAGCCTCCGTTAGGGGGGTTCGGGTTCCCGACACCGGATCGGTTCCCTCTGTCCACCTGGATGATGTTTCCACTGAGAGCGGATGTTCCTCGTGAGGCATGAAGCAGGTCACCGAAATCAGAGGTGGAGAAAAAGCCAACAAAAGAGAAAAATCGCAGATGGAGGAGGAGCGATGCCCTGCAACAGGCTGCAGCTGTTATGAGCATTAATACTTTGCAAACAGGCGCGTCACGTCTAATAATAGCAGAGTGGGGCTGGAGGGTCAGCTTACAACACAGAGAATGGTTTTATCCGTTTGGGGCTGATTCTGATCAGCTCCAACAGGGATTTATTGATCAAACCGTTTGATTACAGAAATAGAGCCAAGCTTGTTTCTGAGGGGAGATCAGCTGCCGGCAGAGAGAGAGAATGGGTCGGGTCGGGTTTACCTTCAGAATAGACCCAGCTGGTCTCTGACCACCTGTGCCGCTGCTGCTGGAGGGGGTCCCAGTCTAACGATCACCTGCAGAATCCCGGACTCGGCAGCTGCTCTCCCTCACGCCGCCACCGGCTGCAGCTCAGAGGAAATCAGCAGCGCAGGAGCCGCGACCAGCTTTTGACAGCGCGGCGGCTGCAGGGTTATTTTTGGGGCCGGACGGGACCCATGTGTCTCTGGGTGGCAACCCGCCTCATTGGACGGAGCAGGAGAGGGGGGGCGAAGCAAGGGCCTCTGTACTCTGAATGAACCAGAGGTCAGAGGTCGTCCTACAAAACACCCAGAGTTGGACAGTTTAACAAACTCAGATTCCCAGAATGCTCTGGTTATTTCAGGACTCAAATTTAAATGGACGGACTGAACATGTTGGATCGATGGATCATGTTTGGATGACAGATGGACGAAAAGATGGATGTTTAAATGCAGAGAATAAACGACAGAAGTATTCCTGGATGAACTGATAGAAAAACCAAAACATCAGTTTCTTTGTACATCTTTTATTAAAAACCTGGCAGACAAAAAGCAAACAATCTGGATCATCAGAAATTAATTTATCGTTTAAAAACAGAGAGAGAGAAAAAAACAAACATCTGGAAACTCAAACGTTGTTTTCCTCCTGAAACTAACAAAAGTTTCCTGTGCAAGTCGGTTTCTCTGCAGACATTTTCCACAAACAAAAACCTTTTCTCATTCTGTTGGAGGAAAAATTACAACTGTTTACATCCAGTGTTGGAACTTTACTCTTTCTCTACTTCATCAAAAAGTTTTAGAGGAAAACAAGACAGAAAGAGAAAACCATCTATTTACACTTAAAACAGTGTAAGAGCTTGTATCAAAAATACTAATCAGATTATTAAAGAGGAAAATGCAGCAGTGACAAACTATATACATTATAAACAAGCTATACATCTTAACATTTGCATAAAGACTCATCGGATCCATGAAGAAATAGAATCTGGGATATCAAAAGGTTCACAAGGATTTCTGGCACTTTCTGGGAAAAATCTGCAAATCGTGCAGGTAAGGCTAAAAGCAGAAACGAGGGACAAAAATAAATAAAAAGGGTCGGGATGGTATGGAAGGAGATTAGGGCCACAAAAGAAAAAGAGAATTCAGATTTTAATCTTTGGAGGAAAAAGTCAGAATTTTGAAATTAAAATTCTGCAAAAAGTAAAACATAAATCCCTTTTTGGATGGATTATTAATTTTAAACAAGCTCCAATTTTCTGCTGAAAAGTAAACTGTAAGTTAGTTTTGTCTTATATAGAATAAGACATTTACATTGAATAGACCAGAAATCTACAAAACACAAAATGTGTGTTTTTGTAGAGGAGCATAAAAGAAGCTCCAGCATTCAACAGAAAGTTTAGTGGAAGGAAAAAAAAAACTTTCAGGAGAGAATTTAAAAAAAATAGCTGTAATTTTCAGAAAAACCTAATTTGACGCTTTTATAAAATCAACAGAATTAAAGTCTTTACATCCATCACTCTGTAATTAATGAATCAATATAATTTATGAGTTTCATCTTAAATTACAGAAATAAGTTAACAGCTTATGTTAAGATGCACTGGTGCAAACGTTAAAGGGAGGAAGCAGCCTGAATGAAAAGCATCACATTTAAAAGTATCTTCTGCTAGTCTTTGGCAAATGTTTTATTTTGTTAGTAATGCGTTAAAGGCAACGTAAAAGTAGAGAATTACAACAGAGGTCTTACGTTTTTTTTTTTCCTGTAACAAGCGATTCGTGGAATTTAAACACGAAGATTATGGTCAGCAGCAACTAGAAAGTGTTTATTAGCCCCTTCTGTATCAAACATTCACAGGATTTCCAGCTGCAGACGCAAATCACAGCAGCTGGAATCAGAGAGGGAAGAACCTGTATGGAAGTCTGAGAGTGTCGATTTTCCCTCCTGTGCATCAAAATGAAAAATGTTGCGGTCGTTGTGTCGTTCACAGTGTTTTTGTGGCCTCGTGTCAACAGAGACGAAGGTGAGGCGTTGTTGAATGTGTATTTAGAGCAGCGAGTGGGATCAATCTGTAGGAGGCACAGTAGAGTTCTGCAACAGAGCCGGCGCCATCAGGAGTCCTCGCTGGCGCGTTTGCGGGATTGGTCGCCCCTGGACACGAGAAACAAATAACCAAACAAAAAAAAATGTTAGTTTCAGATTTTTTCCTTCAAATCCTTTTTTTCCTGTTTAAAATCCCAGCCTCCAAAAATCTAATTTCAACTTCTGAAGTTTTCACAAACATTGTGGCCCAAATGTAGCTCCGTAGATGTGAGTTCAAGGCCTTAACTGGTGTCTAGGGTTGAAATATTTTTGGATTTTTCACTATATTTTTGAGACTTTTTGTCTAATTCAGATAGTTTTAATTCCTTTTTACAGTGCAAATAAACCATCTGTTAAATATTTTTTAGTTATAAATTTTTTTTATGCTTTGACATTTTTTAATTCCACACCTAAAAATGAATACAGTATTATGATTATGTTTGGGTAATGAACACTTGGAAGAAGAGACCATTTTCCAAAAATAAATTACATTTTTATTGAATACATTTTTTCCAACTTTTGCAGTCGCCATTTTGTGGGCTAGCGTAATTGGCGTTGGTATGGAATGCCGTAGTTTGTTGACAGCTGGTGAAAACTGCCGTTTTTATTCATTTCAATTCACAAAATGTTTTTTGTTAACTATAACAACGTTTCTGGGGACTGAATTTTGCTTTTAATTATTTTTACTTGTGTGTTTTTATGATAGAATCCTTTGAAATGCCTTGCTGCTGAAATGTGCAACACAAATAAAATTGATTGATTGGTTGATTGGTGTGAAGTGGAGGGAAACTCGCCGTGGAAAGCCGTTCATGGAGAGCTCCATCTGCAGCTTCCGGTCGCGGTCGGCGTAGTCGGGCAGCTGGGACTCCACGGCGGGGGGGTGGATCTGCGGGATGAAGCTGGAGAAGAGGGCCGGAGCGAGCTGGGCCCACTCTGAAACAGAAACAAAACATTTATCGATCAGAAAGACGTTGAAGTTATTGATCTCTTCCGTTAAAGGCATGGATTGGCCACCTGGTCGCAGGCTGTGGAGGCCTTTCACCACGCTGGCCATCGTCGACGGCTGCACTTGGAACGGCATGGAGTGAGCTTTGATGAGCAGAGCTGGAAAAAAAACAAAAACTGGAAAATTAACAGGACGGCTGGTGCTTTAGGAAAGTATTCACTCTTCCTTAGGTAGTAAAAAACATTTGATCTGTGATCCCCTTTCTACAAAAAAATAATTTCATCTTTGTTATTGAGTAGGTTCAACATGAAAACATTTTTATGTTTTAAAAATTAGATTTTTGGAAGCTGGGATCACTTTTCAACTGCATGAAATCTATGGAAGTAAATTAGGGCCACACGCTTTTCTTCTTTATTTTAATGTCAAAATAAAAAGAAAAGCAAATTTTAACAAAAAAAAAACAAAAAAAAAACTACTTTTAACAATCAATGTTTTTTTTCATTTTCAGACTTTTTCTGAAAAAAAGTCTATTTTGTTTTTCACTGTATTTTTTTTTTTTCAGTTTTTTTCATACTCTATTTTTTAAAGACTTTATAGCCCCACATAATGTCAATAATATGGATGTAATATTGACCTAAAATGTTATTTTCAGATTTTGTCCTTCAAATCACAATATCCATAATTATATGGATATTATGTCCATAATATGGATATAAGGTCAATAATAGGACATATATTACAAAAAACAATTTTAAAACTGAAAGAAAACTTTTCAGATTTATGAAACAAACTTTATGATCTCAATTTAGCTTCGTAGGTGTCAATCATAATTTCAAACCTCCAACACTTTAGGGCTCTGCTCACACAGGGCAAGGAGTTTTTAAATCTTTTCTTTTTTTGTTTGTTTCAAAATTATTTTTGAACAAACTTACGACCCTAATGTAGCTCCATATAAAGGAACATAGCAGACCACACAACTGTGTTTTGTTCCATCACATAAAATCATCTAAAAATACATTAAAGTTTGTTTTAGTGTGATGGTGAAAAAGTTTAAAGAAGACTTTTGCAACAGTCACGTTGACTCACGCATCAATTTGCTTAGATGTTCTTCTGCAACATGGTCTGCAAACAGCTTCATCAGATCCTCTTTCAGGTCTCGGTTCAGTTTTGACTCAATATAAAACTTGTTCTGGAAACATTGAAGAAAAAAACATTAAAATCAGCTTTAAAAAAGTTTCTCTTTTGTTGCAGATAATACCTACCAAGTATATAAACACTGGAACGATACACTGAAGAGACGCCAGGTACTGAGTAAGAGCGATGTTGAAGTTTTCAATCAGGTTTTCAGTTGGGCTGGCCTGCCAATGAGCAACATATTTTAAATTTATTTAGTTTTACCTGGTGGTAACTGGCTGGACTTGGGTTTTCTCACCTGTAGTTGTGTGGAAACCTGCTGCAGGTGAGCTGTAATCTTGCAGGTCAGGTCTCTGTAGAGCAGCTCAGAGTGCTGCTGGCAAACACACTTGTACACATAGCTGCGAAAACAAATCAGGGGAAACAATCAAGTCCTACATTTTAGTTGATTTAGAACTGGAGTCGGCAACCCAACATGTTGAAAGAGTCATTTTGGACCAAAAAAACAAAAAACAGCAAAACGGAACGTGCTTAACAGGCTATGGGGCAAATCTTCGTTGACGGAAATGTTGGAATTTAATGTTTATTCTACACATTTTCATAGCTTTGGAAAACATTAAGAATAATTGTGTCATGTTTGTCCTCCTATAGAAACCAAATGAAAACAAAATATATATTTCCATCCCCCAACTTTTTCCATTTTCAAACATTTTTAAAAGAACTCCAGGGAGCCACTAGGGCGGCGCTAAAGAGCCGCATCTAAAAAAAACAGCTTGGCGCCCCCTGGTGGCCAAAGCAGGTTGATACTAGAAAATAAAAATAAAGAAACCTGCAATAATATGGTTGCACAAATGTTTAAATCTTTAAGTAATGCTTTGCTGTAGTGTTTCCAGAATTCTGTCTACCTGAAGAAAATAAGCCAAAAATAGTACAAAGCATATCAACATTTTGCATTAAAGATAAAACCAAAAAGCATTTGTTTATAAATGTGTTCAACCAGAAACTCCCAATTCTCTAAAAAGGTAAAAAAATCTCTTATGTGTCTTTTTTAAAAACAAACGTTGCCACCATTTTGTTTAAAAATAATATTATTGTACACACAAGATCGGCTTCAGAAATGTTTTCATCCACACGAGATGTTGGAATTTTATCTAATTTCCAATCTAATAACCAATTTAATTAAACAAATAAAGTGAATTATTACATTTTAACAAATACATCAATGAGCTGATGTGACACCAGAAAGCTTGGAAAAGATTAGCGTTTTATGTTGGGTTTAACATTTTTGCAGGTAAATTTTAACTTGAAAAATTGTAGTTTTGTCCTAATTTGTTTAATCCTTGAATTATAATCTAAATAAAATCAATGGCAGATGCCAAACTTTGAACATCCTGGTTGTAGCATCTCATTAAAATAACTTCAGAACAATGACATGTACATCTTGGTGTGGTTCTGTAACAGTTTTAAAATTGGACCATGTATATTTTACATATTTGTTGAAACTGTGATAGTATAACATGAGAAAGATAATCTGTGAAATAAAAAACAACTCCCAGTGCTAAATAGGAACAACCAATCAGAGCCAGGAGGCGGATCTTGTTGTTCCTCAATGGTTTTTCTGCCTCATCTTTCCCTTTGCTGTGGCGCACTAAAGCAATAATACCAACATCTCCAGGTTTCATTTTGTTGACCGGATTGTTTGAACAGAATGTAAAAGAATCGTCTTTTTGCCCTCCAGCGAGGTGCAAAAAAAAAAGAAAACATGCAAGAGTTTCATCGGCTAATTTTCATGCTTCTGGAAGGACACAGACCAGCCAGTAGGTTGAAAAGTTCATGACATCAAAACTTATTCTGCAGCTTTAATTTCACTTCGGCACCAGTACGCGCTCAGAAAGTTGGAGGAATGAGCTGTGATTTTATTTTATTTTTTACTGCTATTTGTTTCAATAAATACCACAAATCAACGCCCCCTCCCTGCCCGGGGCCTCGCGGTAGTTCGGACCGGCCCTGGAGCGGATCCAGTCTTACCCGTAGATCTGAGCGTAGGAGACCGAGATGTGGTCCGAGAGGTTCTGGATCAGCAGGCGGTCTATCGCCTCCTCCAGGTTGGGCCAGTGGTTCTTCCGGTAGTCCTCTACTGCCATCGCATTCAGCACTGGGTCAAGAGAGAGAGGGGGTCAGTCGCCTGAAAGCACCGCCCTGGTGGTAAAAGCAGAACCTGGAACCGAGCTGCAGACGGACCGCGGCTCTTCGGGCCCTTACGGAACTTGGAAGTGGAGTCGAGTCTGAATTTGTCCTCGGCGCTAGCAGCCGAGCAGTCCGGCTCGCTAACTTCGCTGCTCTCGCTGCCTGTGTCCGAGTCCATCAACTCGGACACAGTCCGGGGACTGCCGGACCACGGTTTCGCCTGCCGCTTCGCCGGTTCTGCCCCCGGTACCGTTGGACAAACGGGCTCAGGGACTCCTACTCCATCCGGTACCTGGCTGCTAAGCGCCGCCCTGACTTTACCGCCGCAGTAGTTGTGGTTGTGGTCGTCTTTAACCTCCGAGCTGTCGTCCTCCATGGCCTCCATCTTGACGGTAGCAACTGAGCCGGGCCAGAACCGAGCAGAACTACTGACACATTCCGACAGAAACAAGCGAAAACAAACAAAAACTCTCAGCCGTGCTCGGTGTTGTGCATCCTTCTTTCTGCTCTAAGCTCACATTTTACGACAGTTTGCGTCGCAGGACAGCAGAGAGGATGATGGAAAATGTAGTTCCGACCTGTTTTATTGTACTACTTTCATTATAGTACAATTAAAGAGACAAAAAGAGAGAAAATGAATCAAATGATATCAGTATGTAACGCAGTGTTACTTACCCAAGACGAGGACCTTATGTTACCCCTACAAATAGAACAAAATACTAATAAAAATAATTAAAAAATGAGGGAAAACATGATTTACATATAGTGAATAAAACTAAAATATAAATATTTCCATTTGGTCAGAAGTAAACTAAGAATCTTTATTAAATAAATATTAGATTTTCTAATTTATATATTATAAAACTTGATGAAATGGGAAGTATAGAACTGGAGATTTGGTTAGATATCTTCCAACAAATACAATATTATCAGCAAACATAGCCAATGTAAGAATTAATGGGTTATAGAACAAAGTAAGCACCTTAAAACAATAAATGGTTTTCTTTAACACAACTGTGCCATTATCTGAGAATAAAATAGGCTTATTTGTGTATTTTTTATCTGAGGATATGATAATAAAATTATTTCTAGTTTTGGTGTTTCAACTACCAAGTATCTCCGCTGTACCTAAATGTGAGTTGGATTTTGAACTTAGTTAATTCTAACATTTTAGAGTTTTGATTATTCTTTTATCTACAATATCCCTAAGATGGTAAAACGCAGACATGTTACCTCCATGTTTATTCACTAATACCGCTCTAAAGTATAAAGAATCAATATTCGTCAATACTAAAAATCATATTTGATAGGATTTAACCATCAATAATTATTTTTATTTTTGTATGGTTTCTGTAGACATTTTAAGACCATTTTGAATAAAAATAAAAACTTGTGTATCTCCACAGAAATGTACAAACGTCCTCCAGCCAACACAGATGCAAAACAGCTAGTTAGCACTAACATTAGCAGCTAGTTAGCACTGATGTTAGCAGCTAGTTAGCACTGACGTTAGCTAGCCTGAACGGTCTCGAGTCGCATCTTGGGTGCGACTCAAACGTTTGCCTGACAGAAAATTAAGAAAGACTATTTTAAAATTGAACTTCTAATGTCTTAATTTAAGATATATTAAGACTCAAGGATGCACGGATACCCTGTTTTAATTCAGTCACATTTTCTAATTAAGTTTTTATTTTTCATGCAGAGAAAAGATGCCTTCAATGGAAAAAAAAATAAAATAAATCGCAAGAGCTTTCTCTTTGTTTTTTACTCAGAACCCCAGAAAAGAAACAGTTATGATATAAAAACATTTCTTAAAATCTGGTTTACAAAACATCATCCTCCAAAAAGCATATGTAATGTTATGCTGTTGCCAATCTAACAGGATTTTAGTTTCGTTTCCCTCCACAACAGAGAGGCAACAAAACCGGAAGTCGTACAGGAAAGGAAAAAGTGCCGGTTTTTGATTAGAGTATATTTCTACAGCTTTCAGCTCAATATAGCCAGACCTCTCCTCCATATAAAGCCTCTAATACAACTTTATACAAATTAAAAACTACCATCTACCCATTGATGAGTATGTCTCACTCCCAAATATAAAAATAAGAGGCTTGACCAGAAAAGTAGCTGCCCAATGAAGATTTTAAAGGACAGGACGTACAAAATCACAGATGAATGTGCAGGTAATGTTCTTTGGTTTGAAATTAAAGAGTCCTGTTCCTTATTTCCATAATTTATCTAAAGAAAGGGGGAAAACTGAACTATATATCGCATGCAGGTTAACAAATCAGCAGAAAATGTGCCTGAAACTCTTGAGAATCCAGTAATAAACAGGCAGAGGCTTTTAAACGTACATGTTGCCTAATCAGAAACCACTGTCATAATCAGAGTGATTTAGGAGCCAAAGCACAACACTATGACAGCGAATCAGGGCCATTGTAGATTGGTAAAAAAAAACATAAAAAAGGAGTATATTTTCACCAAAAAACTCACATTTTTAGGTTAATCTGATAGGTGTCTAGAAAGAACAAACGTGACCATTTCTGAGTTTGAAAAGTAAAAGAAATTGCAAAAAAAAATGCTGACATTTTTAGATTAATCTTTGAAATTTTCTAAAAAAAATAAATAAGACTTGGACATTTCTGACTTTCAAAAGTTGAAAATTTGCGAGAAAGAAGTCATACATTTTTTAATTATTCTAAATTTTTTTCCAACTTAGAAATGTCTAGAATTCAGACAAAAATTTTCTAAAGTAAAAAACTTTTAACTTTTGAAACTTCAATTTTCCATGTTTTTTAATGACAGTCTGAAATTAATCTGAAAGTTTCAGATTTTTTTCTAGCAACTTTTCAACTTCCCAAAGAAAAATTTATAATCTCAAAATTTCTTATTTTCTGTAAGAATTTTCAACTTTTAAAACTCAAATTTTCTTTGAGGAAATTCCTGAGATGCATCTCAAAATTCCAAATCTTTTTAAAGCAATTTTTAAACTTTCCAAACTCAGAAATTGTTGAGTGGTTTTGTCAGAAATTCTGTCTTTTCCCATCGACAGTGGCTTCAAAACGCCGTCGTAGAACAAAGTGTTGCAGGAACAGAATGGGTGAATTTAAGAGAAAAAAATGGATGCAATGAAACGAAAACAAACGACCAACCCGAACAAGAAGAAACCTGCTATGTTTACGCACACATGTGTGATGCCATTTCCGCTTTATGAAAAAATAACAAGTATGACATATATATGTATATACATACACACACACACACACACATATATATATATATATATATATATATATATATATATATATATATATATATATATATATGAGAGACAGTTCGTGCTTTGTGAAATGTATGCCTAGAGATATGTGGTCCTCTCAGAATGTTCTGATGTGAAGTCCGTCTGCAGAGTCGGCGTGACCTCTTCGTTTAGCGATAAAGTGTCTCTGTGTGTCGCCTCGTCGCCCGCAGGTCGGGCGCCGTCCTCGGCCTCGCTGCAGTCCTCCGGCCCGTCCTGGCTGCAGTCGGAACCGTCGCTGTCGCTCCCGCAGGAGCTCGACGTCTCGTCCTCCTCGGAGTCAGAGTAGACCTCGGCGCCGTGGAAGATGTATCGATTGGGTGTTTGGAAAAGGTACTGACCGCCTGAAGAAAACCAACACAACATTTAGACATTTAGAGATAATCTGGATCTTTCAAAGTAAATATTACAACTCTTCATAAATATTACCATCCAAGTGGCTAAAATATCCATCATATTACAGCACATTAGTCATTATTTTAGTAATTAATTATTGTGATAATTAATCAGGTGAATTCTGAAGATTTTTTATTTATTCCCTTAAAACTGCAGAATGTAACTTTTATGAAAAATATTTTTATAAATTTGTTGAAACTGTCACCATGTTGTGACAGTATAAGAAAATTAAGAAAAAAAATCCAGCTCCTCTGCTTTCTTCCAGTTGTAATGTGAAACAGCCAATCGGAGCCAGGAGGCGGGTCTTAGTGCTTTCAATCACTATGTCTGCTAGTTTCCTGCTCCCCTCTGTCATGAATGCTAAGGCTAGTTAGCATAGATGCTGACGGCAGCGGAGAAATGTTTTTTCTCTATCAATAAGTTCTTTCTCCACCATCAGCACATTTAACAGGGATACATGAGGATGATTGACAGCGCTTCTACAAAATCACCTTCAAGCCGTTTGCTGATTGGACTCCTGCTGACCCGACTCATCCAGTATCGCTTTCGATTGTCCGGCTTTGAGGTTTGGCTCTTCGCCTCGCCTGTCTCGTCTTTCGCCGCGTCCTCTCTCTGAGGCTCCGGCGACTCGGCGTCGTCCGCGCTTCGACTCGCTGCGTTTGAACAAGGCTCTAACGGCGTCACAATTTCCTTGACATTCTCGCTCTCCGTGTCCTCTGGAAGTTTGTCCGCCGGGTCAGTGGAAGCCTCGTCCGGCGGCGGCGGCTCTGCTAGCCGTGGTGGTTTCTCTGTGATCTCGTTGAGGGTTAGAGTGTTGAAGCAGAGCTGCTCGAAGTCTCCGCCCAGCCGGTGGCAGAGTTCGTTGATGATGCCGTCGCAGTCGCCCAGCAGCTCCACGTCGAAGTTCAGATGAGGCAGTGGCTCCCTGTTGATCAGAACTTGAGGCACTTCATGAGGAATGGAGTCTGGACGAAGACGGGAAACGAAAAAACAGAAATTACGGTACCAAAAACCTTTAATGGACAACAGGAAGAAGATTCCGGTAAGACGTACTCGGGATGAGGGCGACCGGCCGGACTTTTAGAGACGACCCGATGACAATCAGAAGGTCGACCTCGTCTTTGTCCTGCTTCATGGCTCTGTGGAAATGTTCTGGAAGATTCTCTCCAAAAAACACAATGTCCGGTTTCATGATGGCCAGAGGAATGTCTGAACACCGGGGGCAACGGGGGACGACCTGCAGGAAGACTTTGGTTATTCATTACAGTTAAATAAGACTTTCATGCTGGTTACAGCTGCAACGTTTATATAAAATAAGTTTCTAACATAAAACTGTCACCATGTTATGGTGTTACAACATGAGAGAAATAATCTGTGAAAAGATATCAATCCACCTCCTCATTGAGCTGCTATTATCTGAAGAAATGGACTAAAAACAGCCAATCAGAGCCTGGAGGCGGGGCTTATTACTGTCAATAAATCTGGTGTACACACTGCTAAATGTGCAAATGGCAGAGTAACAACTTACCGTTACAGGAAAGCTGTTTCTGGTAGCACTGGTAGCTATGCTAACTAGCCTTAGCATTCATAACATGATATGCGAGCTGCAGCATAGCAGAGTCGAAGGGAGGATTAAGACCCGCCTCCTGGCCCTGATTGGTTGCTTCTAGTTTGCGCTGGGAGAAAATACAGGAGCTAGACTTCTTTTCACATATCTGTTTCAAACTGTCACAACATAGTGACAGCTTAAAACAAATATGTAAAGTAGTTTTTATATCAGATACATTCTGCAGCTTTAAGTATAAACAAGACGAGTTAACAACAGATTTAGCTGATTTTTTAAAG